CCTCCGGGGATGCCTAAAACCACGGATAGCAACATATCATATGCAATATATGCTATATGTTTTCCTAAACATGCATACCTAAACATCCTTCCTTAAAGGAAGGACTTGATGGCTTCTTTTTGGTATATCTGAATTGCCAGCGTCGCTACTCTTGCGCTTTGGGGCCATTATCAAGTAAAATAAGGGCTACTTGAATACCCCCACCATCGACCTGATAACTGAGATGGCTACTAATTGACTAACGGTTGGGTAGAGTTTAGTGTGTGAAGATGCCTGACAAAGGGATGATTCAGTCCTGGGTGGGATGGAGCAGGATGGGGCAGAATTTTACCACACTACTTAGAATGACACAATTCAATACTTATGAATTGTTTATTTCTGGAACGTTCCATTTACTATTTTGGACTGCAGCTGACAGTGATAACTGAAACTGTAAAAAGCGAAATGGGATAAGGGGGGACTACTGCACATTCATCACAAAGCAAACATTGATTGTTCATTTAAAATGATTTAACTAGAACTTATGCTGCATTCTACTGGTCGCAGAACTAAGCCAAAGATGGCCCAGAGATGCTCCCTCTGTATTAGCCTATAATGATCCCCATGGTGTTGACTTCTTCAGTGGGCTAGGACCATTAGCCCAAAGCTTGCCAGTGCCAAACCCAAATCCTCACAAACCCAACTGCTTTATAGTCCAAAAAAGCTTTATTTTTATTTTTTTAAAATATATTTTATTGATTTTTTTACAGAGAGGAAGGGAGAGGGATAGAGAGTTAGAAACATCGATGAGAGAGAAACATCGATGAGAGAGAAACATCGATCAGCTGCCTCCTGCACACCTCCAACTGGGGATGTGCCCACAACCAAGGTACATGCCCTTGACCAGAATCCAACCCAGGATCCTTCAGTCCGCAGGCCGACGCTCTATCCACTGAGCCAAACCAGTCAGGGCAAAGCATTATTTTTAGCCAATCAGAGCCCACCTGCTTTACATACCCCACAACACTGAATCTAAGATCTGCTAACAGTAGACAACCACAGCTGCCCTTCAGAACAATTGCTGCTAAGCAGCAATCCCTAGACACCAGCCCCTTGGATATCTCCTTTCCCCCTGGGAGTCCCCTTGCCCTATTCCCCTAATGGGTAGTGTCCCACATCACCATCTCCTTAGTTCTGTCCTTTTGCCCCCATTGAGCCCTTCTAGCCCACCCTGCCCCCTGCCTTCACCATCCTATTGTTTGTGTCCATGGGTTATGCATATATGCATACAAGCTCTTTGTTTGATCTCTTCCCACCCACTCCTGCCCTCCCTCTGAGATTTCAGTCTGTTCCATGTTTCTATGTCTCTGGATCTATTTTCTTCAAGTTTATTTTATTCATTAGATTCCACATGCCAGATCATGTGATACTTGTCTTTCTCTGACTGGCTTATTTCACTTAGGATAATACTCTCCAGGTCCTTCCATGCTGTCTCAAAGGGTAAGAGATTCTTCTTTTTTACTGCTGCATAGTATTCCATGGTGTAAACGTACCATAGCTTTTTTATCTACTCGTCTACTGATGGGCACTTGGGCTGTTTCCAGATCTTAACTATTGTAAATTGCGCTATGAATATAGGGGTACATACATTCTTTCTAATTGGTATTTCGGGTTTCTTAGGATATATTCCTAGAAGTGGGATCACTGGGTCACATGGCAGTTCCATATTTAATTTTTTGAGGACACTCCACTCTTTTCCGTAATGGCTTCAACAGTCTGTATTCACACTAGTAGTGTACTAGGGTGCCCTTTTCTCCATATAATCGCCAGCACTGGTCCTTTTTTTTTTTTTGGTAGCCATTCTGATAGGTGTGAGGAGATACCTCATTGTCATTTTAATTTGCATCTCTCTGATGATCAGTGACTTTGAGCATTGTTTCATGTCTCTTGGCCATCTGTATGTCCACTGGAGAAGTGTCTATTTAGGTCCTTTGTACATTTTTTAACTGGATTGTCTTCCTTTTGTTAAGTTGTAGGAGTTCCTTATATATTTTGGAAACTGACCCTTTATCAGATGTATCATTGGCAAATATGTTCTCCCATACAGTGGGCTCCCTTTTCATTTTGTTGATGGCTTCTTTTGCTATGCAACAGTTTTTTATTTTGATGTAGTCCCATTTGTTTTTCTCCTTAGTTTTCCAACCTTTTTTTAAGAGGATACACAAATCACCAATAAACATGAAATGAGTTCAAGCTCATTACTGATCAGGGAAATGCAAAATGAAGCCAATAACATACTACTGATAGCTAGAAATACATAAAAACAAAATAAACCCACTCACAATACCAAGCATTGGCAAGGACTAGGAAGACTAGAATTCTCATACATTTACAGTAGAGTATAGAAACAGTACTACTTTGGAGAACAATTGGGCAGTATATAACAAAGCTGAACATGTGCCATTTCAAAAATGCATGTGTGCACCAAAGACATGCATAAAAACGTTTATATGGACTATTTGTAATTGCTCCAAACAGAAAACCCAATGCCCATCATTGGTAAGATGAATCCCGTATGGACTATCATATGATGGAGCAATAAAAGTGAAGGAACTCTTGACACATCTACCAGGGATCAGTCTCAGAAAGTTGAGGGTAAGTCAAGGGAAAGAAGCCATACACAAAAGGGTGTGCAGTACACATGGAGTTCAAAAACAGGCAAACTAATTTATGTGATAAAAGTCAGAATGGTTTTAGGGGCTAATAATTGAAAAATGATCAGAGGGAGGCCTTTGAGGTGAGACAGTGATTTCTTGATTTGGGGGGTGGTAATGAGAATGTGCACTTTGTAAAAACTTATTGAGCTTAAGGTTTATGGGCTTTTCTGCATATGTGTTATCCTATATAATAAAACCAATATGCAAATTGACTGAATGGCAGAACGACCAGTCGCTATGACATGCACTGACCACCAGGGGGCACTCAACACAGGAGCTGCCCCCAGCACGCAGGCCCCTATCAGCGGTGGCGGCAGGGGGAGGGGCCGGTGAGCAGACTGTGCCAGGCTAGCCAAGACGAGTGCGAGTGGGGGCCCCCCAATCACCCCACCGATTGGCCCTGATCACTGGCCAGGCCTAGGGACCCTACCCATGCATGAATTTCGTGCACCGGACCTCTAGTAGTACAATAAAGTGTTTGCAAATTTTATCCAGCCAGCATGGCTCAGTGGTTGAGTGTCGCCCTATGAACCTGGAGGTCACAGTTCGATTCCTGGTCAGGGCTCATGCCTGGGTTGCGGGCTTGATCCCCAATGTGGGGCGTGCAGGAGGCAGCCGATCAATGATTCTCTGTCATCACTGATGTTTCTCTCTCCTCCCCCTCTCCCTTCCTCTCTGATATCAATAAAAATATATATAGGTATATATTTTTAAAAAGTGTTTGCAAATTTTTAAAAATGACTTAACTGTATGTGGGGGATGAGGCAGAAATATGGGTAATAGGAATGTCTAAACTGGTAAATCAAGAAATAGCATATTGTTTAAAAATAAAAAGTAATCATCACAAAACAATCAGAAGTTAAGAATGACTGCCCTGGTGAGTGGGAAAAAGGACTGCTTTTTAGTAATTTTTAGTATTAAATATTTTTTTAAGTGACATGCATATGATATGTTTATAGGTCAAAACATTTCAATTCTTCACAAAGGAAAAATTACCAATGTAGGTAAAAGTGTAAACAGTTTTCTACAACTAATGATGCTAAAGTCTGTCTGATAGAAGAAAATTCATTGCTTTTAGGCAAATTACAGTTTTAAACACTAAGTTTAAAAGTTAAAAATTATTTAAGAAAATGACAGATGCTGTATCTCCACAGTTTAAAGCCAAATGCTAATCACTGAGGAAGGAGGTGAAGGGTGGCAGAATATGCCACCCCAAAATATGCCACCTTGGCTTATTTGAGCTAAAGGCACTTAAAATAAACAAACAGCAGGTGAAACAGGAGCACTCGGGCTCTCCTCTTTTTGTTCCTTAAAACAGGAGATAAACCCCACGGGGAAGATGCCCTCCTGCACCAGAAGTAACATTAACACCAAGGACAGGATGTTGACCCTCAGAGAATTCCACACAAACCTGATTAAAAGAATTCTTACCTTCCGTTAGCCTCCTGCTTACTTTCCCACAATTGCCTCTCTTTGTTCAACCTCGTATAAAAAAGCCTTTAGGTTCTGCCACTTCTTTGGGTCTTCATATCCTCATGAGGGATCCAGTTTCACATAAAACTTAAACTTTCATGATTTTTTCCTGTTAATCTGTTTTATGTCAATTTAATTCTCAGGCCCAGCCAAAAACCCTAAGAGGGTAGAAGTAAACTTATGCTTCCCCTGCAGTAGCAAACTCTAGGCACATTTGTTCCGTTAATGCATAGCAAACAATCTTAGTTGCTTACATAAAAATTTTTGATTATATAAAAAGTAGAAGTTTGGTATGCAACACAGAATGATACTTAATATGCAGTGTGTTGCTCATGGATGGAAGTTCTTATTCTTTAGTTTATTCTTCAGATTAAACTTCCATCTTCCTGTGCAATTTATACATAATGCTCACAGGAATTACGGGAAGACAATGCTCTGTGGTCCATCACTTGGGAAACAGTCGAAACACCTTCCGTTACTGTGCACTGTGACTCTCCAGGAGGTGCCTCCCATGACCCAGGTGGTGAGGTGCTTTAATATTTGTTAAATTAAAAAAGAAAGAAAACAATTCTAATAGTAAGAATCCACTATAGAGAGGACTGGGAGGCAGCTATTGGTCTGGGGCAATCTAGAAATCTGAAAATCTCAAACTTCCCGAATGCCTTAAAATCTTTCCCAGGACTAGTAATATATTTTAAGGTCTCCTGGCTATTTGGTAGCATCTGTCAGGTACACTAAAGGTTTTAACTGGCTTTTCTAAAAGACAAATTCATTTCATTAAAACCACATTTGACACAACTTTTCAAAAAAAGAGACATTGGGTGCAAAAAAGGCTTTCTGAATGTTAATTTATTTTTGTGTTTTTCAAGTCAAGGCTGTATGAACTACCCATTATTTAGATACCAGAATAAAAAGAACAAGCAAAGGGTGTATAGAATATCTGATTAAAAAAAAAAAAAAAAAACTGAACAGAAATTAAGTATACAAGTTTGTTAAAGAGTGGTAAAAACTGAATGTTATATAGTATGGAATCAGTAAATCAAGTTTTACTTTAGTAGATGATAATTCTTATAATTAATTCTGCAACAAAACAAAACCAGCTATGCAGAAACAAGAATAAAGAATGTCCCTTTCTGAACCCCCATTTGATAAGACTGATTTCATATCTAGCTTATTTATAATATTCAGTTTCAGTTCTCCCTGTGCAAATAATAGATGTGGTCATTAATGGTGGTCTGGTAAGGTGAAATTGATTTCTCTTAGGATAGTTCAACATAATAACCCAAATATTAAAAAGCTATGAAAAATTCATGGAGATAAAACAGTACCTACGGAACATAATTCACCCATGTGCATAATATTTTTATAACATTTTTTAAACATAAAATCACAATCAAAGGTAGTGATAATGTTGTATACTCAGTGCGTTCGTTCATGTAGTGCATTCTTATGACTCATTTGGAGTTTCACACCATGTAACCACCACACTTCTAATGAATGGGCTTTAATGTACACAAATTCGTGATTCTTTTAAAAAATCTAAACATCTAAGACCTTGAACTTGACATTTAAAGACTTTGTCTTTTAATATCCCAAACATTGGGAAGAGTAAGTGTGAAACATAGTAACCACCTTTTGTAAGCAAGACTGGGTATACTTTTTGTAAAAACCCTTAAATCAACTCAACACTGAAGATTGAGCAGGACACATTTATTATTTGGCCAAAGGAAATTCAAATGGCTGTCCTGGAGTCAAATGTATCCCAGGACATATACAAGGAATGAGTATAACTGTGGCAGCTAAAGAAACCTGCCGCTGTGAATAAATGCGCTTATGCAATGATGCTGTGCATTTTGATAATACACTATGATTTGTTTGCTTCCCACCATCAGGGGCACAAGAAAATTAAACTCAAAACTATCTTGTTATAACAGGACATGTGATGATACCAGTTTTAAACAGGGTTCTTCATTGAAGGAAAAGACAAAGCCATGAGTCAAATTAGCTGACTTTCAATGACTTATATCCCCAGGTGAATCAGGTGACACTGATTTAAGCCCAAGTTAATTTAGGCAGTTTTTCAACCACAAGAATAAGGTCATTCTTAGTACATATTAATAATTAAACCAACATATACACAATTAGCAATATCCTACATAATATTAAAGGTTTTAACAACTTGTTCTCGATTATTTTATATTTAGTTAGTTTGCTGCTTGGTTTTAAAAAAGCTCAACTTTATTTTACAATGTACTTTGCATTTCTAAGTGTGTTCTGTAATTATTTCATTGAAGCAGGTACAGTTCTCTGGATTCTAAGAGCCAAACTCAACTGTATCTTCTGTTATCTGTTTAAATTCATAATTGCCTCTGCCATCCATATGCAGGTAGTACTGTGGGAAAGAACGGGGGAAATCAATAAGAGAATTTCCTTCTTGTCAAGAATTTATGTAGAGATAATTATACAAGTAAATGATTAGAAATGATTATTTTAAGCAACTAAACTTAAATTCTTAAAAGTTGATACACAGAAACGCATACAGGTCTCAAGGTTAAGACTAAATAAAGAAGTCTATTCTTTTAAAAAATAGCAACAATATAACTCTGCTTGTAATTAAAACACTAGACCTTCTCACTATTTAAAGAAACCAAATCTATAAGCATCCCACAAATTAGAATGTTTCTACAACCAAGGGCCTGAGCTACCATAGGTCAAATTGCAACAAGTGCAAGTCTGTTCAATCCAGCAGCCTTTCATGCTTCCAGAATAATATTTTCTAGGTCAGCTTGGAACCTCTAACTAAAGGCTTTCTGTTTATTTTTATTTGCCAGAGGAAGAAAAGAGCTATCCCTATATCTCCCATCCAATGAAGACAGTCAGGACAATCTATATATATAAAGAGCCAGGGTCCGTAACATCCAAAATGACCGAAGGCTCGACCGACTGGAAGTCAGTACTGGGTTGCCATGGCGCCCCGACCCAGCACTGACTGCAGAGGGGGCTGTGGATCAGGGCCAGAGAGAGGCCAGGAGAGAGAAGCAGGGTCTGATCCACAGCCTCCGTGGCAGCTGTTGATCAGCACTTGCCTCTCTCTTTCTCTTGGGGCCTGGCCAGCAGCCGTGCCTCTCTTTCTCTCAGGCCTCTGCTAGGGCTGTTGATCAGCCCCGCCTCTCTGATCAGGCCCATTGATACGCCCCTAGATGCCAACTGGCATAGAAACTGACCAATCAGAACCAAATCTGGGTGAAGTGCCAGGAGCCAATGGCTGCCTAGGAAGCGGAGCTTTTGACGCTGACAGGCATAGAAACCGACCAATCAGAACCAAATCTGGGTGAAGTGCGAGGAGCCAGTGGCTGCCTAGGAGGCGGAGCTTTTGACGCTGACAGGCATAGAAACCGACCCATCAGAACCAAATCTGGGTGAAGTGCGAGGAGCCAGTGGCTGCCTAGGAGGCGGAGCTTTTGACGCTGATTGGCATAGAAGTTGACCAATCAGAACCAAATCTGGGTGAAGTGCCAGGAGCCAATGGCTGCCCAGGAGGTGGAGCTTTTGACGCTGACTGGCATAGAAACCAACCAATCAGAACCTAATCTGGGTGAACTGCGAAGGCAGAACCTAAGGTGGGGTGGAGCTTTTGACGCTGACTGGCATAGAAACCAACCAATCAGAGCCTAATCTGGGTGAACTGCGAAGGCAGAACCTAAGGTGGGGGCTGAGGAGGGGTTTTAAGGGCAACAGCTGTTTGGTGTAAGGTGTTAAGAAAGCGGTTCAATTTTTTAATGACCAGTTTGGCAATATAGTGCATATGGCTGGCTATCAGTCCAGATATAGGGATTATGTATTTTTGTCTGCCAAGAGCATCTCCTCCTGAATAAAAAGGCTTTCCCCCCCCACTTAAGCAATCCTATCCTACATAATCTATCTATACTACCAAAAGTATAATATGCTAATTAGACCAGGTCGACCGGCCGGCCATCTTCTGGATGTCTGAATTCCTTCCGGACAAAGCCATGGTGGTGGGGGCCGAGGCAGAGGCAGTTAGGGGCGATCAGGCTGGCAGGGGAGGGCAGTTGGGGGCGAAATCAGGTTGGCAGGGGAGGGCAGTTAAGGGCGAGATCAGGCCGGCAGGGAAGGGCAATAGGGGCGATCAGGCAGGCAGAGGAAGTTAGGGGTGGTTAGGGGTGATCAGGCTAGCAGGGGAGAGAAGTTAGGGGCGAGATCAGTCTGGCTGGGGAACGCCATTGGGAGTGAGATCAGGCCAGCAGGGGAGGGCAGTTGGAGGGAACCAGGCCAGCAGAGGTGGGAAATTGGGGCGAGATCAGGCTGGCGGGGAAAGGCAGTTAGGGGTGATCAGGCAGGCAGGCAGAGAGGTTAGGGGCAATCAGGCAGGTGAACGGTTAGGAGCTAGCAGTGCCAGATTGCGAGAGGTCCGACTGCCGGTTTAGGGATCAGGCCTAAACCGGCAGTCGGACATCCCCCAAAGGGTCCCTGATTGGAGAGGGTGCAGGCTGGGGTGAGGGAACCCCCACCCCCACACATCCCTGTTCACGAATTTCATGCACTGGGCCACTAGTCTATACTAATAAAAGGGTAATATGCTAATTAGACCGGACATCTTCTGGTCGACCTTCCGGACATCCTTCTGGACAAAGCCATGGTGACGGGGCCGAGGCAGAGGTGGTTAGGTGAGATCAGGTCGGCAGGGGAGAGCAGTTAGTGGGGATTAGGCTGGCAGGGGAGAGCAGTTAGGGGGATCAGGCTGGCAGGGGGGAGAAGTTAGGGCGATCAGGCCAGCAGGGGAAAGCAGTTAGGGTTGACAGACCAGCAGGGGAGAGCAGTTAGGAGGATCAGGCTGGCAGGGGGGAGAAGTTAGGGCGATCAGGCCAGCAGGGGAAAGCAGTTAGGGTTGACAGACCAGCAGGGGAGAGCAGTTAGGAGGATCAGGCTGGCAGGGGAGGGCAGTTAGGGGAATCAGGCCGGCTGGCAGGTGAGCAGTTAGGAGCCAGCAGTCCCGGATTGCGAAAGGGATGTCCGACTGCTGGTTGGGGCCCGATCCCAGCAGTCGAACATCCCCTGAGGGGTCCCGGATTGGAGAGGGTGCAGTCCAGGCTGAGGGACCCCACCCCCGTGCATGAATTTGTGCACCAGGCCTCTAGTGGTTAATAAAACCTTCTGTTTAGTGGCTTTTTATTGACAAAAAAGATTTCTGTTTTCCTGTTTTCTATACTTATTTCTTAGCTATTCTGGCTCTAACTTTGCTATACTTCCTGTCATCCCTCCTTCACATGGTACTGGCCTGATGGTTATTTTCCTACTCATCTATACATATCTCCAGAAGACAAGGAGAGGTAAAACCCAAGACTTCTCACTGTCCTGTTAAGTTTATGAACTTCTGAGAAAACACAAAGGCTTGCCCTGGCTGGGTTGCTCATTTGATTGGAACATCATCCCATATACCAAAGGTTGTGGGTTCGACTATCCATCAGGGCACACACCTAGGTTGTGGATCCAATCCCCAGTCAGCGCACATATGAGAGGCAACCAATTGACATTTCTCTCTCTCCCTCCCTCATCCTACCCCGTCCTCTCTCTCTAACGTCAATAAACATATGCTCAGATGAAAATAAAAAGGAAAACACAAAGGCGTGGATATATGTTAAACTGCTTTGATTTCTAGTTATTCAATCTCATTCAATTCATGAAAATATGGACAAATTATAATGCCCTAAGATAAAAACTACCTTTTGTTGTTGTTAATCCTCACCTGAGGGTATTTTTCCCCATTGCTTTGTAAAGGGAGAGGGGGAGAGAAAAGAAGAGAGAAAAACATTGATGTGAGAGAGACATTTTGATAGGTTACCTCCTGCACAAACCGACCTGGGCAAAGGATCGAACCTGTAACCCAGGTACGTGCCCTTGACAGGGAATTGAACCTGGGGACCTTTGGTGCCAGGGCCAATGCTCCAACTACTGAGATACACCAGCCAGGGCAAAACTATCTTTAAAAGTCACACAGCTATATGGAATTTCACTACACCTTATGAAATACTTTCATATAGGCTGTTTCTTTGATCCTCAAGGTAATCTATGAGACAGGCAGATAAGGATCAATAACTTTATTACACAAAGAAAGCAATTGATGCCAGAAACAGTGGTGTCTGAACCCAGGTTTTCTGACTTCAGTCCTATGCTCATTTTATCATTTGTACACTGTCATCTAAACTAGCGGTTTCCAACCTTTCGGAGCTCACGGACCACCAGTGGTCCACAGACCACCGGTTGGCGACCACTGATCTAAACTTATAGGTTCTTGCAGGTAGATAGTACTCTGAATCCCTCGGACACTTACCGTAGCCCAGTACTTGACACAAAAGGTGCTCAAGCAGCGATGTACTTCATAGGATAAGATATGCTTACCACTGTCCCAACTTTTCTCAGACCCTTTCTTTTACCTAAATTTTCTGTATTTTTAGGAAGGAAAAATAAGAAGGAAGGCAGGAAGGGGAAAGAAAAAAAGAAGGAAATAAAATAAAATGAGCTCGGCTGGTGTGGCTCAGTGGTTGAACATTAACCCATGAACCAGGAGATCATGGTCAGGACACATGCCTGCGTTGCCGGCTCAATCCCCAGTAGGGGACGTGCAGGAGGCAGCCAATCAATGATTCTCTCTCATCACTATGTTTCTATCTCTCTCTTCCTCTCCCTTCCTCTCTGTGAAATCAATAAAAACATATATTAAAGAATAATAAAATGAATTAAACTGGGTTTATTTTTAGGGTTTGATCATTTTATACTAAGAGTTGAAAAGAACTGCCTGCCATCTTGAGAGTGGCACTAGTGGAATGGCAAGAATAAGATATCTGCACAGTGTAAACCTCACTAGAATATCTTTGCAAATTGTGGTGACTACCTAATGAATTCTACTTTATCACAGTGCAATGATGCACATAGCTGACAACACTCAGTTTCCTTGTCATCCTGATCTCCACTAAAAGTGTCCCTAGACTTTTGGGGATCTAATCCTTTTGAAGACTCTTTCCCCTTCTGTTAATACTGGATGGTAAGAAAAAGTTTACTTGGCCACAGCTGTGATAAAATTATGCAAATTTTAGTTATTATATAACAGTGATAGCTAAAACCGGAGAACCACTAACTGGTTCTCTAATATTCATTGTATATAACAAGGGATTGTATACATATATTGTAACTTTCAAAACTGACAATTACAATAATATTTAAGGAAATCCTCTTTCATTTTATAAGACTGAAACAGAATCAACTTTTTCCCTTAAGGTATATGTATATAAGGGAATATACTCCAATAAATCTCAAACCACCCTGACCCGTGTTTCCCAATGGTTAGAGCACTGGTCCATGCACCAAAAGACTGTGGGTTTGATTTCCGGTCAAGGGCACGTACCTGGGTTGCAAATTTGATCCCCGGTCCTGGTCGGGGTGCATGGGAAAAACAAAAAATTGATGTCTCTCTCTCACATTGATGTTTCTCTCTCTCTGTCTCTGCCTCTATCTCTATCTCTCCCCCACCCTCACTTCCACTTCCTCTAAAAAAATCAATGGAAAGAATATCTTCGGGTGAGAATAAAAAGAAAAAGAAAGAAAATGTAAGAAATACAAACCTCATGGTGTTTCCAAAGAGACTTCCTATGAGACACAGTGAAGAGGGTGATGCCAACCTATTACAAAGAAAATGACTTATGTTTATAGCAATAACATAGATTACAATTTAAACCACTCTATATAGTTTAAGACAGCAGTTGCCAACCTTTTGGACCTCACGGACCACCAGTGGTCCGTGGATCCCCGGTTGGCGAACGCTGGTTTAAGATATTAAGATGATGGTCTTCAGTAGCTATAGTTAAAAAATCAATGTCAAAGAGAAAAAAAATTACAATTGATGTCAAATGTTCAAGGTAATACAAAGCATAGGCCATCAACCACATTATAAAAATGAACAGATATCAGTGAAGTTCTTTACGGGGAAAAAAAAAAACCTAAACTAACAGCATTATGTGTTATTTTGTTTGGGGCAGAAAAATATATATCCTAGCACATTTTCTATTTATTGTGAAAAATACATGAAAAAAGTATAAGAATGATAGAAATAGCAAAAGGTCAAGATCAATTTGCTTTTTAAATACAGAGTCATCATCCTTTCTGGAAAACCCTGTTTTGGAATTTGTCTTAGAATTCAGATTTTGGAAATGCAGTATTTACCACCCCCAGAGGGTCCTGGGACAAATTCTATAATTAAACACATAAATATTTCTATTGCAACACGTGTAGACACTGACAGTGAGATAGTTAAAGGAGTTTAAATACCTTTTATTAGTTCAGACCAGGTTTGGCTACCCAGTGAGCTTGCCAGAAAATAATGAAAAATCTTTTGGTTTTAAAAAACTTACTGGATTTAGACTGCAAATAAGCTTCCCCGTATCTGAACTTCATATTTAAAAAAACAACAACACTAATTTAACTAATTGCTTTGGATCAGTGGTTCTCAACTAGGTGGTGGTGTATGCGTGTGATTTTGTCTCTTAGAGGACATTTGGCAATGTCCATAAACACTTCGGACTGTCACAACTGAGCGTCTACTGACATTTACCAGGCAGAGGTAAAAGACACCACCAAACGGCCTACGGTGCATCCCACAACTAAGAAATTATCCAGCCCAAAATGTTAATAGAGCTGAGACTGAGAAATCCTGTTCTACATCATTGTTTGTATCCAGGAACTTTCCATCATGAGTCTAAATCTTATTGTCATGTGATAATTTTTTTTGAAAATCAGCAGTAAGTATATTCTGGATCACTTCTATCATGAGATTTAAGTGCCCAATGTTGTATTTACACGTCTGCTGTATGAAGTGATAATGTAAAGTAATATCACTTAAAACTTTAAACGTCTTAAGTTTAGCTCCCTTATGGAAGGATTCTCAAATTGGTTAGGAACTGTAGGACAAAATAAGCATATTATATATATGCTTTTTTATATATATTATATATTTTAAGAAAGCATATTATATATATGCATTTCTAACAGGCTCTCAGGTGATGTTGACGCCGATCCATGACCACACTGGGAGTAGCAGGAATTCATACTTCCTGTGCAACATGACCTTTTATATTTATTATAAACTCCTAAAAACAGCTACAAAATGTTAAAAGACTCTGTATTTCATTTGTTTATGTAAATTCTTTTTGGATTTTGTTCCAAATTTTGTATAAATATTAGTGATAATCTCTCACAGGAAAAAAAACAACAACTGAGACTACTGAATAGAACGGAACCAATGTAGATAGCCCCAGAAAAGGCTACTAAAAGCAGCTTTGGTAAAATACTGCCTAGGCCAGAGGGAAAAAAATGAATAAATTAAAGTTGCCAAATGATTACTGTTGCATTTTCTTGATTAAAAAAAACAAACAATCAAAAAAATACACACACAAATCATATTTAGGTAAAGTTCATGGAACAAATTAAAAATATACCAGTTTATTAACTCTTAATATAGGGAATAAAGTAAAAAAAATAAGTTTAAATATATTTTTCGTTTCATATCTAAGATGTGGCTAAAGAGAATTATATACAGAATTCATTTACTTTTTCTTATATCTATAATCACCTTAAAGTCCTTGCTAAAGCGAGATATCTTCCTTTGATAGTAATTTTGTTACTTAGTAATTTAGAATCTTCTCTTTTGGTAGCTATTTGGTTGGACACAAAGTAAAGCAGGAAGGAGGACGTGGACCCTCACACTGCAAACCTGTCCACTTACCTCTCGACAGTGATTGTAGATGTAGCCTTCCACGTCCACACTCACTGCGCTGGTGCACTCGTCCAAAATGGCAAACTGGGGTTTATGATAAAATAATCTTGCCATCTGAAGCAAAAAAATAATATTTTGTATAATCACATGCATAAGTTAATAAGCTAAAATAGGTTTACTTTAAGTTAAGTATGTACTTACAGTCTTATAAAGCAAATATGAAAATTATTCTAACTCAAAAAAATCTATTTCCCAGAAATGAAAGCAATGTAAATAAACCTAGTTGTTTCTATTATCTTCCTGAACAAAAAGAGAAATGTAATGCTTAGGAAATATTGTTCAGAGTAAAACAAAACTTTCAGGACTGATATGAGGTGAAGTAGAGTTTCAACTAATATTAAAGAAAGTTCTCTACACAAGATTAAAGGGTACATATTTAAACCAAAAATCTTACAAGTCAGACTCATAAATGACTCAGGTACAAACATATGTCTACCTTTAAATGTTTTGTTGCTTAAGTAATGCCCATTAATATTACATTGTCAATATTAATATTGTTATCAATATTCCCACTAATAATTTTTTGTGCACCTGTTTCATCAGCTTGTTCGTTTTTTAAAGCCTTTGCTAACTTTGTAAGTAAAAATTAACATCAAGATTGTTATAGCTTACATTTCTTTGATTAGCAGAAATGCTGGACATTTTCTCACGTTTACTTTCTATATGTGTTTTATTTTCTGGGAATTATTTATTCTGATCCTTTGTCTAACAAATGACTTCACAGGGCTGCTGGAAGAATTAAACAGGATCTGCCAGTCACAATCTACTTTTCCTCATCATTTTCCCAGTGCACTTTTTTGGTAGTTATATACTGCCTTGTATTACAGTTAGTTGAGAATATTCGGATCTCCTAACACGGGAGTGGGGAGCCTTTTTTCTGCCAAAGGCCATTTGGATATTTATAACACCACTAGAGGCCCGGTGCACGAAATTTGTGCGGGGGGCGCGGGGGGGGGGGGGCGGGGGGGGGGGCGGTTTCAGCCCGGCCTGCACCCTCTCCAACCCGGGACCCCTGTGGGATCGGGCCTAAATTGGCAGTCAGACATCCCTCTCGCAATCTGGGACCACTGGCTCCTAACTGCTCGCCTGCCTGCCTGATCGCCCCTAACCACTCTGCCTGCCTGCCTGATCGCCCCTAATAGCCTCTGCCTGCCTGCCTGATGCCTCTAACTGCTCCCCTGCCGGCCTGATCACCCCTAACTGCTCTCCCCCTACCAGCCTGATCGCCCCTAACCACCTCTGTATCAGTCCCCACCACTGTGGCTTTGTCCAAAAGGATGTCTGGAAGACGTCTGGTCTATCCAGTCTAATTAGCATGTTACCCTTTTATTAGTATAGATTCTCGGGCCATACAAAAGCATCAACTTAACCCTTTGTACACCTTAAGTGTCTACAGACGCAATTAAATTCAAAATATCATGGCTTGTGGGGATGGTTTCCGTTTTGGACATGTGGCAGTTAACTGGTTAAAATTAGCCTGCTTGCCTTAGCCAGTTTGGTTCAGTGGATAGAGTGTTGGCCTGCAGACTGAAGGGTCTCAGATTCAATTCCAGTGAAGGGCACATGCCCAGGTTCTGGGCTCAATCCCCGGCAGGGGATATGCAGAAGGCAGCCAATCAATGATTCTCTCTCATCATTGATGTTTCTATCTATCTCCCTTTCCCTTCCTTTCTGAAATCAATAAAAATATATTTTAAAAAATTAGCCTGCTATGTTTGGTCAAACATTTAATTAACTCACCTCTAATGCCTTGGCAGGGCCAGACCAAATGATTTCATAGGCTCAAGGGCCACACGTTCCCCACCCATGTGCTAACTAGATTATAAGGGCAGACACTTGGCTAATATTGAGCTCCGTGGAAATTATACCATAATTAAATTAGGTTTCTTACTATTAAAATAATGGAATAATAATCTCATTTCCCTACATTTATACTAAAGGAACTTTTAGAAATTTGTCACCAGACCTCCCATTATTCAATAGTATTATTCCATTCCCTCACATTCAAACCCTACTCTCCTTGCTCAAAATTCCTTTGGTTCATTTGTTTTACACAAACCTTCACTATTACAAATTCGCTATTTATTTTAGGTGGTTAAACCTTTCAAATCTGTTCTCCCTAAAAATTATAATTTTTATAATTTGTGAATGTAAATTTTTGATTTATAAAAACTGTCTTGTCTTCACTCAACTTTTTACTTTGAAAATTTCTAATCCTACTAAATAAATGAAAGAATAGTAAAATGAATATACATACTTCACCAACTTCATCAATGTTAATATTTGTTGCATTCACCTTTTCTTTCTCCCCATAAACCCTTTGAAAGTAGCAAAACAATATGCTGTCTTTTAAATTTTCCGGTCAATTCTCCAGACATTGGCCCACACAGAACATACTGTCAATGGCAGAGTCATGCAGCAGTGCCATGGGTGAGCTTTTTCCGTTTTCCTAACAACTCTATCACTGTCGATCTGGCTTTACAGGATTCCTTCCCCACACCCTTACTTGTTTGTTTTGTTTTGTTAATCCTCACCCGAGGATATTTTTTCATTGATTTTTAGAGAGAGCAGAAGAGAAAAGGAAAGACAGAAAGAAATATCAATGTGAGAGAAACACATCAATTGGTTGCCTCCTGCACGGGCCCTAATCAGGGCCCAGGCCTGGGCAACCGAGGTATGGGCCCTTGATCGGAATCAAACCTGGGACCCTTCGGTCCGCAGACTGATGCTCTATCCACTGAGTCAAACCGGCTAAGGCCCCATTCCCTTACTCTGTAAGATATCCTCTCACTCCTCAAGGTCTTGCATTCTTGTCTTCAAATAAAAACTATCCCTTCTATACCTTTATACCACACACACAAGATTCATTAGTTATGCACATTTATTTTTCTTTCCCTGAGTTTCCATTGTGTCCATTTATAAATCTTGACTATCCTCCCATTTTCTTTGAAGTCACAGTACAGAAATTTAAATTTGTTGTTTTGACTTGTAGTTATTCCTATAGCCATCCTCTAAATTGATTCAAGTAATGCCATCACTTCAAATTTTCACTCCTTCAGCCCAATTTCCATTTTGAATATAGCTGGCATCTCTCTTTTGTTTATGGTTCATTCTTCACTCTAAATTATACTCATATTATAGCACTAGCCAAACAAATCACAATATTAGGTTGATACTATGTTTGCACAGGATGGGTATACTTTTAGAAAAAACAACATGCAAAATCAGGGAGTAGTAGGCAACAAGAAGGTAGAATATAACCTGAAGATACTGAATAAGAAATTCTGCAATAAGCCATTTCTTTAGTCGTCTTTCCTTGGCTGCAGTTTTCTCTAACTTCCACAAGACTAATATTCTGGAAAGAAAAATTCCTCTGGATCTGCTCAAACTGTGATATATTCCATTAGAAAATGACTCTTTAAAAGTGATCCCTCTTAACAGAGTACTCTAAGTATCACTCTTAATATGTACTGTTCTATAGTGACATTTGATTAGGGATAAGTTTAGTCAATCATAAATTAAAATATAGTTCCTCTCAAATGCTTTTTTATAGTAGGAAAACTTTAAAAATCTAAATAACTTTAAGTAGCAGATACTGAGCCCTGACACAAGGATATATACAATGGCAGAGGGAAGGGGCAAGAACAGAATAAAGAATGAAATGGTAACAAAATTAGGGTTGATCACCTCTAATATCTTCAGCTACTTCAGACAATAGCCTGAGTAAGACAAAGAGATGTCTGTAGGGAAAAGATCTCATATGAACAAGATCTCATAACCCAACCATAATTACTGTATGTCCCAAGACCAACATGGTACAAAGTTTCCTCAACTTTTACAAAAAAATGGATTAATGATATATATTTGAATCTGCAGTTTTTCCTTTCACAGGAAAACTCAAAATTTTTCAAAATTTCAAATTTACATGCAAGTTACTTTCAAGCACCTTTATTATTATTTAAACTAATATACACTATAAAAATTGCCATTAAAAATATGAAAGTATAATAAAAAATAATAAATGCTCATTATTTTTTAATAATCAGAAAATACATATAGCCATAAACAAGAAAGTAAAGATTCCCTATTATTTGAAACATCCAGAAATGATAGTGATTAACATTTGGTGTTCTGATTTTATATTTTAATATAAACATATAGAAAAAAATGTACATATAGATAACCATGCTATACATTCCATTACATAATCTTTTGTTTTACTTAATATGTGAGGACATCTCTGTCCATCTTCTTGCATTATTACATTAACTTCCTGTTTCCCTACTGGCAAATATTTAGGTTTGCCAATCTTTTTTTTTAAAATAATTTGTTTCTTTTTTATTGATTTCAGAGAGGAAAGCAGAGGGAGAGAGAGACGGAAACATTAATGATGAGAGAGAATCATTTATCGGCTGCCTCCTCCACACCCCACACTGGGGATCAAGCCTGCAACCCAGGCATGTGCCCTGACCGGGAACTGAACCATGACCTCTTGGTTCATAGGTCGACGCTCAACCACTGAACCACACTGGCCAGGCTAGGTTTCCCAATCTTTTGTTTTGTTAAATGATACACTAAAGAAACTTCTTGTACAGGCATTTCTGTGCATTTATCCTGTTAATTCCTTAGGATAAGTTCTTAGAAGTGAACAATTAAATGTCAGTATACACATTTTAAAATGCTGTATCAATTTGCCAAATTGCCCTCCAGAAAGTTTGAACTAATTTATATTCTCTTTAAAGTGTATGAAAGTATCTATTATCTCACACCCTCATCAACACTAGTTATTATCATTCTTTTCAAATTTTTCCAGTTTTATAGGTTAAAAGGTATTTTTATTTTAATTGGCATTTCACTTATTACTAGTGAGGTAAAATATTTTTCATGTTTATTGGCCATTTGTATTTCTCCTTTTTGATTTAACTTGCTTAACCATGCTTTAACTATATTTTCTAATGTTTTTTTAAATCTTTTCATTGATTTCTAAAAGTTATTCATAATTCAAAAATATATGTTGTGAATTCTTTTTTTTACAGTTTTTCATAACTTCAAGTATGTAGTTTAGATATTTTTCTTTTGTTTTAAGTAGCCAATATATTAAAACTTTCTTGTTTTTTACTTTTGGATCATGATTGGAAGGGTATTTCTTATTCTAAGATTAAATAAATTTTTATCTGTGTTAAAAAAAATATGCAAGTAAAAATATGTGCCTTGATTAATCAAACAGGTGCATTTTTGTGCAATGTCTTCAGAGTATACTTACTGCCATTCTTTGCTTCTCTCCACCACTGAGCACATCCATCCAATCCTGAACACTGTCCCAGCCTCCTTCGCGTTCAAGAATATGACCCAACTGGACATTATCTAAGTATTCCTTCAGTACCTTTCAGAAAAATGATTAAAGATGAAATCAAATGTAATAATATACCAACATTCTCTATCTTGCTGTATTTTTTAAACTAAAATCACTATAATTCTATTGCCAATATCATTTAAAGAGGTACATTTCACACAAAAATGTGGCACAAGGGTAACCCTGAAGTCTTTACTTCCTATCTACACTAATTTTGACAAAATATATCTAGCAGCTTAAGGAGGACACAACTGTACATAATTAAAGGACAAGAGCAATGAGAAAATAAATAATATTGTAAACAAGGTTAAACACTCGAGTCATATTTACACAAAGTGGTTAACATCTTACCTCAACTTGAAAAGTATAATTACTGTCAAAGCTTTAAAAGCTCTATAGGTTAGAATTAAACTGCCTGGCATTAAAAGTACGTAACTGAACATCCTGGAAATGAATGACAATGAAAACACAACAATCCAAAATCTATGGGACACAGTGAAAGCAGTCCTGAGAGGGAAGTTTATAGCTCTACAGGCCTACCTTAAAAAAACAAGAAAAATGGTAATAAATCATCTCACTCTACAACTCAAAGAATTAGAAAGAGAGCAACAAGAAAAGCCCACAGTATCCAGGAGGAAGGAGACAATAAAGATCAGAGAAGAAATGAATGACATAGAGATGAAAAAAACAATATAAAAGATCAATGAAACCACAAGCTGGTTCTTTGAAAGGATAAACAACATTAATGAACCTCTAGCCAGGCTCACCAAGAAGCAAAGAGAGAGGACCCAAATAAACAAAATCAAAAATGAAAAAGGCAAAATAACAACAGACCCCACAAAAATGCAAAGGATTGTTAAAAAATACTATGGACAACTCTATTCTAACAAACTAGACAACCTGGAGGAAATGGACATATTTCTAGAAAAATACAACCTTCCAAAACTCAATCAGGAAGATTCTAAAAATCCCAATAGGCTGATAACTATGGAAGAAATTGAAGCAGTCATCAAAAAGCTTCCAGCAAACAAAAGCCCAGGGCCAGACGGCTTCACAGGGGAGTTTAACCAAACATTCAAGGAAGAACTAAAACCTATCCTCGTCAGGCTATTCCAAAAAATCCAAGAGGAAGGAACACTTCCAAGCACATTCTATGAAGCCAGCATCACCCTAATACTAAAACCAGATAAAGACAACACAATGAAAGAGAATTACAAGCCAATGTCCCTCATGAACATAGATGCCAAAATGCTCAACAAAATCCTAGCAAATCGGATCCAGCAGTACATCAGAAAGATCATACACCATGACCAAGTAGGATTAATACCGGGGATGCAAGGATGGTACAATATCCGAAAATCAATAAACGTGATACATCACATAAACAAATTGAGAGATAAAAATCACATAGTCATTTGACACAGAAAAAGCATTTGACAAATTCCAACACCCTTTCTTGATAAAAATTCAGCAAGGTGGGAATAAAAGGATCATACCTCAACATAATAAAAGCCATATATGACAAACCCACAGCCAACATCATACTCAATGGGCAAAAACTAAAACTATTTCCCCTAAGAACAGGAACAAGACAGGGATGCCCACTCTCACCACTTCTGTTCGACATAGTATTGGAAGTACTAGCCATTGTGATCAGACAAGAAGAAGAAATAAAAGTCATCCAAATTGGAAAAGAAGAAGTAAAACTGTCTTTATTCACAGATGACATGATACTGTACATAGAAAACCCTAAAGACTCCATCAAAAAATTATTAGACTTAATAAATGAATTTGGCAATGTAGCAGGATACAAAATTAACGCCAAGAAATCTATGGCACTTCTATACACTAATAATGAATGTACAGAAAGAGAGACTAAAAAAGCAATCCCATTTACCATCGCACCAAAACAATTAAGATACTTAGGAATAAACTTGACTAAGGAGGTAAAAGACCTATACATGGAAAACTACAGGACAATGAAAAAGGAGACAGAGGAAGACATAAACAGGTGGAAGAACATATCGTGTTCATGGATTGGTAGAATCAACATCATCAAGATGTCCATACTACCCAAAGCAATCTATAGATTCAATGCACTCCCCATTAAAATACCAACGGCATATTTCACAGACCTAGAACTAACTTTCCAAAAATTCATCTGGAATAAAAAAAGACCCTGAATAGCTGCAGTGATCCTGGGAAAGAACAAAGTAGGTGGGATCTCAATACAAGATATCAAGCTGTATTACAAAGCCACTGTTCTCAAAACTGCCTGGTAATGGCACAAGAACAGACATATAAATCAATGGAATAGATCAGAGAACCCAGAAATTGACCCAAACCACTATGCTCAATTAATATTCAACAAAGGAGGCATGAACAGCCTCTTCAATAAATGGTGTTAGGAAAATTGGACAGATACATGCAAAAAAATGAAACTAGACCACCAACTTACTCCATACACAAAAATAAACTCAAAATGGATAAAGGACTTAAACATAAGACGGGAAACCATAAAAATACTAGAGGAATCCACAGACAGCAAAATCTCAAACATATGCTGAAGCAATTTCTTCACTGATACTGCTCCTAGGGCATTGGAAACTAAAGAGAAAATAAACAAATGGGACTACATCAAAATAAAAATCTTTTGCACAGCAAAGGAAACAATCAACAAAACAACAAGAAAGCCCACTGAGTGGGAGAACATATTTGCAAATGTTATCACCGATAAAGGTTTAACCTCTAACATTTACAGGGAACTCATACAACTTAACAAAAGGAAGATAAACAACCCAATCAAAAAATGGGCAATGGACCTAAATAGATACTTTTCGAAAGAAGACAGAAGAAAGGCCAAGAGACATATGAAAACATGTTCAAAGTCACTAATCATCTGAGAGATGCAAATCGAAACGACAATGCGGTACCATCTCACACCTGTCAGAATGGCTATCATCAACAAATCAATAAATGACAAGTGCTGTCGGGGATGTGGAGAAAAAGGAACCCTCGTGCACTGCTGGTGGAAATGCAGACTGGTGCAGCCACTGTGGAGAACAGTATGGAGTTTCCTCAAAAAACTAAAAATGGAACTCCCATTTGACCCAGTGATCCCACTTCTAGGAATATACCCACAAGAAACTAGAAAACACCAATTAGAAAGGATATATGCACCCCTATGTTCATAGCAGCACAAATCACCATAGCTAAGATTTGGAAACAGCCTAAGTGCCCATCAGTAGATGAGTGGATTAAAAAATGTGGTACATCTATACAATGGAATACTACGCTGCAGTAAAAAAGAAGGAGTTCTTACCATTTGCAACAGCATGGATGGAACTGGAGAGCATTATGCTAAGTGAAATAAGCCAGTCAGAGAAAGATAAATACCACATGATCTCACTCATTTGTGGAATATAATGAACAACATAAACTGATGAACAAGGACAGATCCAGAGATGGAGAGGCATCAATCGGACCGTCAGGCCTCAGAGGAAAGGTAGGGGAGGGTGGGGGTAAGGGGGAGAGATCAAACAAAGGACTTATTATATGCAAGCATTTAGGCCTCACCAATGGACACGGACAACAGGGGGGGGTGAGGGCATGAGCAGGGGGGATAGGGGTAACGTGGGGATAAGGACACATATGTAATAACTTAATCAATAAAAAAATTTTAAAAAATAAAATAAAAAAAAAATTAAAGTACGTAACTGGTTAAGAAAAAGAACCTTAAACATAGTATTTTCTGCAGGTCTGAGATATAAACCGTTACATACTAGGTCAGATATCCCCTTCCTTTTTTGATCTTCTCTTCCATCTGGATATATCACTTGGTCTCGAAGGGTTCCAAGGGTCATATAAGGTCTCTGATAACAGACCAAAATTCATTAGAAGTGAATTTTTAAGCAATAAGTAAAAATATCTTTAAATTAAAAATTACAAAATAACTCAAGGTCTTACCTGAGGAACATAAAATAACTTTCCTCTCTCAGGTTTAGTTAGACGTCCTCCAAAAAGAGGCCATAACTATAACAGGAAAGAAGTGGGATGAGCAATAGTAAATTTCACAATGTGGTAGATCATATGGCAAAATAAAACTGCAAAATTTTGAGGCCAATTTGTACTTACTTCACCAAGAACACGGAAAAGTGAACTCTTCCCACAGCCATTTGGACCACAAATTAGAACATTGGCCCCAGATCGAACCTGAAAGAAAATTATGAATTAATGAATAATTTTAACAGATTTAATTTAATGAGGTAAATGAACTAGAGTGAATCTGTAAACAATGAATATTTCCTCAGAGTCCAAACGTTCTTTGCTAATGATAAACTTTCCGTTTTGTCTATAAATGTGATATCAGATATAAGCAGTGGAGGGTATAGTTGAAGGGACCCTTTATTTTTGTTTACTTTAAAATTTTACTCACTTTTTAATTTAAAAATCATTATTGATATTATCAACTTAATCTCAACCAAATACAAAAAGCTAAAGCTTAAAAATTTGAGAATTCTTGAAAACAATCAATATGTATGGTTTTTTTCTAATTTTTATTTTTCAATTACAGTTTACATTCAATATTTTTTGTATTAATTTCAGGTGTATAGAATAGTGGTTAGATAATCATATACTTTACAGTGTGATTCCCCAGTATTTCCAGTACCCACCTGGCACATAATTATTATAATATCATTGACTATATTTCCTATGCTATCCAATCTTTCTAAAAAAATAATGGAATTGTACTATATATGTCCTACATTTGTTATTATTTCACAATATATAATAAATATTCTTCCAGGTCAGTATATTCAGATTCTTCCCATTCTTTTTTCTAATACTCCCAGTGTATCCTATATTAAGGATGTGACATAATTTATTTAAGTATTTAGGTTGTCTGCATTTTATTTTGCTCTTTTAGGTAATAGTGTAATGAACCTCCAAGTCAGTGAGCAAATTTATGCACTAGTGAAATATGTTTCTATATATCAGATTCTTAGAAGTAAGTGTTGGATCAAAGTATATATGCATTATAACTATGCAAGTACCACCAAACTGGTCTGCAATAACATAAAGTTAAATAAGAATATGTAAAAAACTGCCTAAGTTCTAAGCTTGCAGTCTTGTGTTAATCAATCCTGTGAAGATTCTGAAAACCTGGGTTATAAACTAGCATATAACATAACACAGCCATGTACACATGAGGAAGGGAGACAACGAAGGTGAAGAAAAAGGCGTTATCCAAGCTGTGGCTGTGGCACCTACCTTAGACAATTTACTGTTGAGCTTCAGGTTCCTATTATTTAATTCAATAAATATTTACTAAATTCTCAGTGTCAGGCTCTGTTCTAGGCAATGGAGCTACATTTGAAAAAAGAGAGAGACCAAACCATCCCCCCAAAACAATCAAACAAAAAGCTCAAACCCTCCCCCACCAGCCTACATTCTAGTGGGAGAGACATACAGTAACTGTGCATAATAAATAAGCTAATTAAATAATGTTAGAAAATAAGTGCTACAGAGAAAAAATAGATCATAAGGAAATTTGGGAGTGGTGAGGGACGTTGCATTTTTAAAGGGGTCAGGCCAGGCAACTGGGCAAATACTGAAAGAAGGAATGAATTTGGAATTTATCTGGAGGAATACTGTTCTAGTACAGTTGATGGCGAACCTTTTGAGTTCGGCGTGTCAGCATTTTGAAAAACCCTAACTTAACTCTGGTGCCGTGTACATAGAGAAATTTTTTTGATATTTGCAACCACAGTAAAACAAAGACTTATACTTTTGATATTTATTTTATATATTTAAATGCCATGTAACAAAGAAAAATCAACCAAAATGGTGTCATAGGTTCGCCATCACTGTTCTAGTACTAACCCTACCAAAAAAGGCTGATTCAAAGGCACTGAAGCAAGAATGTATCTGTTCTATTAAAACAGAAGGAGGAGGCTGATTTGGCTGAAGAAAAATGAGCAGAACAGAAGAGGAGTAGGAAATGAGCTCAAAGAGATAAGCAGTGGGGGCAGGATAGTGGCAGGCAAATCCTACAGGGCATTGTAAGCCACTGAAAGGATTTTTAAGGCTTTTTGATCTGATGAAATGGAGAACCGTTCGTATTATTTATAACTAGAGGCCCAGTGCATGAAATTCATGCACTGGGGGAGTGTCGGGGGGTTGGGGGGGGGAGTCCCCTAAGCCTGGCCTGTGCCTTCTTGCAGTCCAGGAGCCCTCAGGGGATGCCTGCCTTCTGATTCTGATTTAGGCCCGCTCCCTATGCTAGCAGGTGGACATCCCCATCCCTCTTGCAGTCCAGGAGCCCTCAGGGGATGCCTGCCTTCTGATTCTGATTTAGGCCCGCTCCCTATGCTAGCCGGTGGACATCCCCATCCCTCTTGCAGTCCAGGAGCCCTCAGGGGATGTCTGCCTTCTGATTCTGATTTAGGCCCGCTCCCTATGCTAGCAGGTGGACATCCCCATCCCTCTTGCAGTCCAGGAGCCCTCAGGGGATGTCTGCCTTCTGATTCTGATTTAGGCCCGCTCCCTATGCTAGCAGGTGGACATCCCCATCCCTCTTGCAGTCCTGGAGCCCTCAGGGGATGCCTGCCTTCTGATTCTGATTTAGGCCCGCTCCCTATGCTAGCCGGTGGACATCCCCATCCCTCTTGCAGTCCTGGAGCCCTCAGGGGATGCCTGCCTTCTGATTCTGATTTAGGCCCGCTCCCTATGCTAGCAGGTGGACATCCCCATCCCTCTTGCAGTCCAGGAGCCCTCAGGGGATGCCTGCCTTCTGATTCTGATTTAGGCCCGCTCCCTATGCTAGCCGGTGGACATCCCCATCCCTCTTGCAGTCCTGGACCCTTCACTCCTCACCACCCGCCTGCTTGCTTCCCCTTACCGCTCGGCTCGCTGCTCCTTAGCACTGTCGTGGAGGCGGGAGAGGCTCCTGCCACCACTGCTGCGCTTGGCAGCCATGAGCCCGGCTTCTGGCTGAACGGGGTTCCCCCTGTGGGAGCACACTGACTACCAGGGGGCAGCTCCTGAGTTGAGCATCTTCACCCCACCCGCGCCCCCCCAGTCGGTACACATCGTAGTGACCAGTCGTTCTGGTCATTCCACCATAATGGTCACTTAGGCTTTTATTATATAGATAGCAAAAAAAAAAAAAGTGACCCAAGAGAATGAATGGACAAAATGCGGCACATATCTATAATAATAAAAGGGTAATATGCTAATTAGACTGGACGTCCTTTCTGACATTCTTCTTTCTGGACAAAGCCGCAGCAGGTGGGGGCTGCGGCAGAGGCGGCAGAGGCCCCTGGACACGGTGGTGGCAGCGGGCGGGGGCCAGGGCCTAGGCCCTTGCACGAATTTCGTGCACCAGGCCTCTAGTATATATATAATATACACTAAAATATTATTTAGCCCTAAAAAGGAGTTAAATTCTGAAACATGCTACAACTTGGATGAACTCTAAAGACAATATGAAGTGAAATAAACCAGTCACAAAAGGATCAATATTGTATTATTCTGCTTATATGAAGTACCTAGAGTAGTTTGATTCATTGATGCAGAAAGTAGAACAAAGGTTACCAGGAAATGGGGAGAGGAGGAAAATGAGGAGCTAATGTTTAACGGGTACACAGTTTCTGTCTGTTATGATGAAAAAGTTCTGCAGATAGTGGTGATGATTGCATAACACTAAATGTAGTGAGCGCCACTGAACTGTACCCTAAAAAATGGTAAAAACAGTTAAGTTTTATGTTATGTATATTTTACCACAATAAAAACAAAGAAAGAATGTGCTCCTTAAAAAAGGCTGAGAACTACTGGTATACCACATAGCTGACCACATCTTATGCAATCAATGTTAAAGAATACACTATTCTGAAAGACTTTTCCAGAGGAATGAACTGAGAAATTATTTTTAAGTATCATTTTGATGAACTTCTTTATGTGCACTTATCTACTTCCTTTTCCTATAAAATGGAAAATACTGACTATTCCTAACAGTACAAGGTTATTATATATAGTAATTTTACTCTACTAGAACAATGATGCCCTCATGAGCTCCTGCAGTTCAGAGAGCTGTTACTTACGTGGTTCCCTACTACTATGCTTTGAGTAATGTCATATCTTTTTTCTGCTCCTCACTGCTCATTATAGTCTTCACTGGTATCTAATACTTCTCCATACTATTTGTTTCAATATGGCAGGAAGCTATAAGACCAAGTTTGTAATTATGTAAATAATAGCTAGACTTATGGACATTCTTCAGTTACTCCTATGCTCAACTGTCTTAGATTCAGCATTAACTTTTCTTTATTCCATGGCTTTTGGTAATGTTGGGATAAAACTTCCCATTATAAAATCAATCATGGTAAGCCAGTGGTAATTTTTCCATATTAAAGATTTATAAAAATGTATATTTTTTCCCTAGGTTGAATTAAGACTAAAAGCTGCCCTGGCTGGTGTGGCTAGATAGAGGGTCAGCCCACCCATCTAAGGGTCTTGGGCTCAATTCCAGGGCAAGGGCACATACCTGGGTTGCTGGTTCTATCCCCAGTCCCCATCAGGGTGAATGCAGGAGGCAACCAAACAATGTGTCCCTCTCACATCAATGTTTCTCTCCCTCTCTCTCTTCCACTCTCTCTAAAAATCAATGGGGGGAAGGAGAATCCTCTAGTGAGGATTATCAACAACAACAGAAAAAGACTAAAGGCCAACAATCACTTTTACTGAAAATTGAATTTGTAATAATACTTACTATTGAGGCTACTGGATTGACTTAATGGAGCAACAAATGCTTTGAATATTTTAATATATATTCCCTGAAAAATAAAACTTCTTTATAAATCCTTTCTATTAATTTACCATAATAAATCATGAAAAAAATCTACCCATAAATGATTTTAGTAAAAGAGAAATTATGTAAAAGTATTCTGCTTATGAGGATTTATAGGCTTCTTATACATTATAAATGTGCCTTACTAAAAAGTAAAAATTTGAGTAAGTTACAAAGTACTATTTTAACGTCCATATTATAATTTACAAGCTATCTTAGGGTCTCTTCAATCTATATCTAGATAGGTAAATATGCCTATGCTGAGGAGTTTTTATAGGAATAAGCTATACAATCTCTTATGTCAAATAACATAAGCTTAGACAAACTAATTATAAAGTATAAAACATTTACTTTTGGTGGTCAAGTCTGTTTTATTTTTTTATGAATAAGTCTTGTATTTTACTTAAAATATCTCTTAAAAATATGAATATACTGCTAATCTAAGGAATGTTAATTACTTACATGTCACCTAAAAATTAAGGTTTCTAAGGGTTAAGAATTCTAATTGGAAAGAAATTATGGTTTTCGTGTCATTTTGAAGGGAAAAAAAAGTGGGTTCTGAAAGTTGTAAGGTTTGTGAGGAACGGTAATGTTTGTAAAGAGAAATGTTGAAAGGAAGTTATATAAATGGCACATGCCAGTAAGCCAGGATAAAGTAGAATAGGGGCCAAGTCCATTTTATTATACCTATAACCAGGAGAAAAGGAATCTTTATTTCAAGTAAAATAGATGGGTAGAAAGTAACTGGAGGTAAAAAAGAACTGAAGGGTGTTTGTTGAATAAAGGAAGGCTATGTTAAGAACAACAATGAAAAGGATACATAGAACAGACTGACAGATCTCAGAGGGGAGAAGGAAAGGGAGGATGGGAAGAGATCAACCAAAGAATATATATGTAAATATGCATAACCCATGGACATGGACAATAAAATGGTAAAGGCCTGGTGGGAGGCAGGGTGGAAGGGAGGGGGGGAATGAGAGACATCTGCAATAGAGTCAACAATAAAAAAAAAACAACAAATAGACAAACAAAAAGAATAAAATGGAAAGACAAAAATAAATGAGAAAAGCAAAGTCTAACTTAAAATTCCTTAAGTCAGAGACAGAAGAGGAAAGAGGAATCCATTACAATAGCTCAAAAAGACAGAAGTCAAAGAAACAGTGGAGGAGAAAACAAAAGAATCACAGGATAGATAACAGGGGGTATAAAATATAGTCACAAAGGAAAAAACTTGAACAAGTAGGGGCATAACTGGGTACTCAAATAGGATTTTCCAAATGAAACCAATATAAGAGCAAGAAAGCAACGGCCTTTCTGAGACTATAAAAATGAAGTTATAAGAACTGTCTGGAAGTATATTAAATCCAAACATAAGGGCCTTAATGGGAAGGGCTTTTGGACTAAAAGGCAAATGAGAGCTTTCGTGTAGTACCTTATGATAAAAGTGAGTAATATTACAGACCATAATCATACGCTTACCTACTCTATGTATCTGTGTATACATAGAGTCCCAAATCCCACCCCACATGCTTAAGCCATGTGTGCATCTGTATTGTTGGATTAATTATTTCTGCATAAAGACAGAGTGAGGGAAAGTGGAAGAAAGGGCCAAGACGATTCTTTAATGAAGAAATCTGATGACCCTTTTGATCCTTGGGTTGTGGCAATAATGGGGCTACTGAACTCTAACAAAGATGGGGTTCTGATCTGTTTTATACCTGAAATCAAGCCTGATAGATACACACCAAACTGACTGAAGTACCTACAGCTAAATGAGAAAACACTTCTGTAATACTTGTAGGCATTCAATATTTACCAACTACATTTACATTTTCTCTACTTCCTCTTGTGTTTCCTGGCTTTAAAAAATATAGTATACAATACTCATTGTTATTTAAATAAATTCAAACTACTTAGCATAACTAACATTTTTCATTTAAAAAAGAAACTGGAGATGTAATTAATAAAGATACATTACTAAGTATAAGAAAATTGAAGACATGTAAGATTATAACAATTTAAAAACAAATCCAGTGGTTGAGCATCGACCTATGAACCAGGAGGTCACGGTTGATTCCCAGTCAGGGCACATGCCTGGCTTGTGGGCTCAATCCCCAGTGTGGGGTGTGAAAGAGGCAGCCAATCAATGATTCTTTCTCATTATTAATATTTTTATCTCTCTCTCCCTCTCCTTTCCTCACTGAAATCAATAAAAATATCTTCAAAAGTAAAAAATAAAAACAAATCTAATAATTACATACCTTATTTTGTAAACTATCAGAAAGCAGTTGAAAAGAACCCCTACACATAACACAAATGATAAAAGGCCACATATATTGGCATATAGAGAGGAATTCTAGAGCTATGCTGTCTAAAGATCAAATTTATTAAAATTAAATACAATTTAAAATTCAGTTCCTCAGTTGCACTAACCAAGGACTTTATTTGCAAAAGACTTTTTATAATAATATCTGAAACTCTAAAGTCTTATCAATTAAGAAAAATAGATTTCTAAGTATTTCAAGCACTTATTTTTTAAAGCAATTTTGTGGATTCAGAGATTAAGTCAAGCCTTAAAATTATTTTAAATATTCAACCCTTATGCATTTCACATTTTAAAGATAAGTTAAGTTTTTATACAATCATTTTAAAACTTACTTCAAAATTAAGATCTCGGATCAAGATATCTCCATTTGGCGTTGCTAAAGGAACATGATCAAATCTACAGAAGAAATTAATAAAAAAGGATAATTTTTCATTAAACACTAAGCAAGTGTAGCTGAAAGAAAAGGGTACTATGTAGTTTAACAAATATTTATGGTCCTAAAAAAACTTTTTCTGTACGTACTTTATAATGTTATCAGTATTGATGATTTCTCCAGCTCCAGGTATCAAGGGAATGCTTTGTGCTCCTTCAATACCTTAAATAGAAAATAAGTATTAAAGTATCATAACCACACTGTGTATTAAAGCAAAAACGTAAATTATAAGACGTAGAACATTCATATTTACCCCTTTCTTGTTGAGAGATCATTGTGCGTTCGTATTTTCCATTTTTTAAATCCTTTAATACTTGCATTAATTCTGAAATCCGAGCAGTAAAACTGAAATTAAAAACAAGCTATGATCAAATCTCCAGAGGCTATCATATATTATTTATTTTTTGAGATAAAATTGACATATAACATTGTGTAAGTTCATATCTTGTTTTACTTTTTTTTTTTAATTCTCACCCGAGGATTTGTTTTTACTTTTTTATTTTTTTAGAAAAAGAGAAAGGGAGGGAGGGAGGGAGGGAGGGAGGGAGGGAGGGAGGGAGGGAGGGAGGGAGGGAAACAGTGATTGGTTGCCTCCCATGCACACACAGACCTGGGATCAAACCAGCAACATAGGCACGTACCCTGTCTGGGAATCAAACCTGCAGCCTTTTGGTGTATGGGACAATGTTCCAACCAACTGAGCCACCCACATCTTTTATTTTATACAAACTTAACTGAAGTTTAAAATTATTATCTAGTGTAAATAAAATAACCTAAAAGAAGTCTCATTAACATAAAGTATTAGTGATAGTATGCATGTTTTACTATTACATTTCAGCACAAAAGCAGAAACGTGGGGACAAAGGGAGAGGTTTCATAGGATTCCTACCTCAACAGATACTTCTTTAATAGGTACTAGTAAGTCAAGAAAGTTGTTTGCCATTAGAAGTTTAAGGAAGTTTCTAGTAGATACTAGTAGGACTAGTACTTGGGCATTCCTTAGGCACTGAGTTCCCGCTAGAGTGTGCTATAAAGCCTGGTATAAAGATGGCCTTCTATCTGATGAAGGTGTTTATTATACACTAGAGGCCCAGTGCACAAAATTCATGCACTTGGGGTGAGGGTTGGGGGTTCCCTCAGCCAGGATTGCAAGAGGGTGCAGGCCAGGCCGCGGGACCCCACTGGTGCACGTTCAGGGCTGGGGAGGGATGTGGGAGGTTGGCCAGCTGGGGAGGGACCGCGGGAGGGCTCCAGGGCATGTCCAGCCCATCCTGATCAGCCAGACCCCAGCAGTCAGAGCGTCTGCCCCCTGGTGGTCAGTGCACATCACAACAACTGGTCAATTGTCTGCCCCCTGGTGGTCAGTGCATGTCATAGCGAGTGGTTGAGCAGCCTTAGCATATCATTAGCATATCATGCTTTGATTGGTTGAATGGCTGACCGGACACTTAGCATATTAGGCTTTTATTATATAGGATATGCCAAATGGCTGCTACCACCCTGCAAACAGAAGATTTGGAAGATTCCTCTCTTATTCTAAAGAGGGGAAAAGAGCCCAGTTGGTGTCGCTCAGTGGTTGAGCGACGACCCAGGAATCAAGAGGTCACCAGTTCAATTCCTGCACATGCCCAGATTGCAGGCTCAATCCTCAGTAGGGGGCATGCAGGAAGCAACCAAACAGTGATTCTCTCTCATCACTGATATTTCTATCTCCCTCTCCCTTCCTCTCTGAAATCAATAAAAAAGATATATATTAAAAAATAATTAAAAGGTATTTTTTAAAAATAAAAAGGGGAAAAGATAAAATGTTCTTAATATTAGATAGAAATCACTGTGGCAATATAGAGAAATCGAAACTAATGACAAAAGGTTGAGGCATATAAGAATGACATCATCGTCAAAGAGAAAGCGTTCTATATCAGAGACACAAAACAGGATTTCCCTGTGAATAACAAGCAGGAATCTCCTAAAGAAACAGAAGCATCCATATGCCAGGAACTGCACCAGAAAGTTAAGTAGGAAGAATGTCAGCGTTTGCAAGTGAAAGAAGCTCCGCACATAGTTTACAACTTCTTCTATCTTGCCCTGAAGACTTTAACTGCCATAGGAGGTGGGGGAGCAATAAAGAGGAAATATGCAAATGAACCTCCAGTCTTAGGCAAATACCTTAGGCCATCCAATTTTTCCAGATGATCTAAAATTTATGGTCCTTTTTTACATTATACTGTGTGTTTTTTATACCGACCTTTTATATTAAGAGCTTGAAATACTGAAATATTTAATTCCATTTTATGGTCGAACAACAATATTCTTAGACAATATGACCATATTTACAACTGTACCTACAGATACCACAAGATAACTTTTCATTTTATCCCATTAATATCAACGTCATCTTTGTTCATCTTTTGCTAGGTTGCCAGTATCAAAGATTTAAGAAAAACAAAGTATTATGGGAAACAGAAAGTTCAACTGAGAAGATTCTATTCATTAACTTAATTTTCTGTGAATTAATTAGACTGCCATGATTGAACATTTCCTAGATTACTGAATACCAGTTTCCATGAAGCAGTTTAAGAAATCCTAACCTAATTTAAGGCTCAGAACAACTATCTAAAGGAAACATAAAGACTTCACTATCAGAGAAAAATCTTCCTTAATTCTTTATCAAAACCAGCTTCCAGGAGTAGCAGCTTCAGTTATCACTGATCTTAACCTCAACAGAGCACAATCATTAAGGATAACATATTTTTAAAAATTCTCTGCAACTGCTCAATACTAATCTTACTTACCCAGCCAATCTAGTCATTTCGCGGCCAGCCAAAACTATTCGACCCAGAGCTTGAGACATCCGCAAAAGCATCCTTCCACTTTGGTAGTAATCCTTCAATAGAAATAAATATTAGTTTTCACTTACGTTTCTAAGATTAAAAACTAGGTTTTCTTTTTCTTCTTCTTTTTTTTTTTAAACCTTACCCAAGGATATTTTTTCTATTAATTTTTGGAGAGAGTGGAAGAGCAGGGGAGAGACAGGGAGAGAGAAACATCGATCCAAGAGAAACACATCGATTGGCTGCCTCCTGCACATGCCCCGACAGGGACCAGGGATCGAGCCTGCAACCAAGGTATATGCCCTTGACCGGAATCAAACCTGGGACCCTTCCGTCCAAGGGCTGATGCTCTATCCACTGTGCCAAACCGGCTAGGGCAAAAACTAGGTTTTCTTTATTTTTATATTTAAATTTTCAATGTACCATTATTATTATTACTACTACTTTACCTCCAGAAGTTCTGAATGTGTACTCTTGAGATGTCGAGGATGAGACAAATCTAGGAAAGGGCGGCTGACAACTAGGTAACCAACAACAGTGGCAAGATCTGAAACAAAGCAATTAAGATTTAAAATACTCCTCTTACTCCACAAATCTCATTCCACTATCTCTTTTATAGCATACTTACATTTGGCAATTATGCTATCGATGAAGCCCATAGAAAACCGAAACAAAATGAAATTATGCAGGTGTTCCACCTGGCAGAAAGCAAAAGCAAAAAAATAATGATTTTCTATGTTTAAAAAACACACAAATCTACCATAAGGATAAAAGAAACTGTAAAATATATTTATTCAACAAATATTTACTGGCTGCAAATGATTTCTGATTATATTGTATATCACATTTCATTGAGCACAATGATGATCTCAGAGCAGGTGCCAAACAAATACTTCATGAAACCATTTTTATACAAACAGAATGAAAATTACATAAAGAATGTTAATGTGGGATCCTTTACATGTAATAGTACAATGGTATTTATTCACAATACTATCAGATACATATATGCTTTGCTTTGTTTTGATTATTGGCTGTTAATAATCAAAACAAGAAGAACAGAAGGATGAGAGCATTTAGGTTGAACACTAGCAGTCCAGATTGGTACTCTATGCTTTACTTTAGTTTGAGACATCTGGTCTATGATGAATGATATTACTACTCATTCTGAACCAAGTGCTCATGTAATTAAGGCCACAAAGTCCGAGTGTGTAGCTTTAGTCAGAACATGCATTATCTCAAAATTACAACTCTAAAAACGTTTTTTATTCTGCATCTTTAGTGTTTTCACATTTTTCACCTATCGGATTATCCAAGGTCCTGCATGATCTGTCACTGGGCTCTATCTTAAACCTCATCTGCTTCTACTTTGCTCCTTGGATTGAGTTCCAGAAATGCAGCTTTCGAAAACATGCTCCTGCCTAAGGCTTTCTTCTTGCCGTGCTCACTGCCAGGAATACAGTCTTCCTAGATACTGATATTTTGCGACTAACACTGCCCACCCACTTCAAGTGGGTTTCTGATGAAATGTCACCTCCTCAAGAAAGATCTTGCCTTCCTAGCTAAAATACCTAATAAATAGCCTCGATCATACTCTACCACTTTATCTTATTATATCTTCGGTCATAGAGTTCATTACCATCTGAAATCATAAAAATACCCATTTGTTTACATGTTTATTGACTCCTCCACTAAAATGTGGCGTTCCTAAGTACTGGGTAGTTTGCTCTTACTACCTTCTGCAAAAGAAGAATGGCTGGAACATTTATTCAATGAATGCTGTGTGCTACATGCGTGCTAAATACGGAAGATACAACAATGAATAGAACAAAGTTCCTGAGCTCATGGAGTTTACATTCTAATGAAAGAGACAAACTAATAAACAAATTAACCAGATAATTATAAATTGCAATATATGCTTTTAATGGCACAGATCATTAAAATGGAAAGTAACTGGTGGAGGCCATTTCAGGCAGACTAATCAGAGAAGGCAAGGCATCAATAAGATGTAAACTTTTGGGCTGAAATATAAAGGATAAGTATAAACAAGCCATGTGAAGAGTGGGCTGGTGAACGACTCCAGGAAAATTACCTTAAATGCAATTTAGTGAGCACTATCAAAGTTCAGTTATGTTAAATATACATAAGGCAAAATCCAATTTGTAAAATAATTTTAAATGGCAACCATTTTAATCTTCTTAAATCACTTCAAATATATATTAAATTTCACCAGCTTCCACTAAAATGTAAGCTCCATAAAGGCAGGATTTTGCCATCACATTCACCACTGTTAACACACTAGCACCTAGAACAGGCTCAGGCAACTAGATGGCATTCAATATCTTTTGAATGAAAAATAAATAAAATTACTTGAATTCAAATTTTCCAAGTGGCAAGTAAATAAAAACTGAAATATAGTTTCCATAAGAAACAATGTTTATATTCTAAATCACAGGTCAACAAACTATGGCCCACAGTCCAAATCCAGCCTTTATTAGAGCACAGCCACACACATTCATTTATATATAGAATACTAGAGGCCCGATGCACGAAACTCCTGCAAGAGTTGGCCTTCCTTCCCCGGCTGCAGACACCAGGCTTCCCTCCCAGCCCCGGCTTCATCCAGAAAGCTGACCGGTCTAATTAGTATATTCCACTTTTATTATTGTAGATTATAGATGGCTACATTTTCGTGGCAGAGTTGAATATCTTTAATAGAGACCATAAGGCCTGAAAAACCTAAACTATATATGTATTATGTTGTTCTTTACAGAAAAAGTTTGCTGGCCCCTGCTCTAAATAATAATCTTCATAGTATTTTCATGAATGCTATTGAAACAAATTTTCTGTAGAAATCACTAAACTTATCACTAAATAAGACTCCTATGCAACCTCTGTAAAAATATGCTAACAGTTATTTTAATAAATCTACCATTTTATAATTAGGCAACTTAATATATTGATATGATAGTTTTTATTCTCATATTGTTTAATGAAAACAATATATTTGTATTTTACATAAGCAAAAGAAAAAAATATTTCCATAAATACATGAGCCTCAGGCATGTTTTCTTACCAGTTTTTGGAAGACCGCATGGATTGTCTGCTTTTCTCTTTTATTCCCATCATAAAAGGCAATTTCTTCACTATTAAAAAAATAATTTAGCGATTAATTTTGATGTTAACCAAGCCTGAAAAATTGCAAAACAGTATTTTATGACTGAGTATTTTTATTTAAATGGGTATTTTGTGACTAAGAGCTTACCAAGTACATCTCAAGCAGTGGTCTGCACTTGAGACCCAGCTCCTGGCTCAGCTGATCAGAGCATAGGAATACATACCCGACTAGATCCTAGATTGGACTGCAACCATATGTTGTATGTGTCATATATAACTGGCTGGAAAAAGTGTGCTGACCCTCACAAATCAGAATAAAGAAATAAGAAATGAGAAGGAAGCTACCATGATATACAGAAGGCAGGGCAGGGACAGCCAACATAAACTACAAATTGAGTACAGACCAAGATAGGAAGGAGAGGGGAAAACAACGGCTAGAGAAAGTTAGGTAGGGATGCCATGACACACAGCCTTTGAAAGACAGAAAAGCCAACTCAGACTTCACAACCTCACAGTGACAGCTCCCAGGGGGCCTAGCTGGATAATTGTTCTTATTCTTGGAACCCCACCATATCCTCCCAACAACTTCCGTTTTCTTGAGCTGGTTTGAATGGGCCCACAAGGGCCACAAGTGTCTTGACTAGAAATAAAAGGGTGTGTTTACAGATGAAGAAAGGTTCAGTGTAATTAAGTAAATTTGCTAAAGTCATACAGCTAGCAAGTCAAGTAGTTGAGATTAATGACCATATCTGACCCTCATTTCAGTCTTTCATTTTATTCAGTATGATATAAACTTTCCCAGCAAAGCACCTCTTACAGCAAAGGAAAGGGAAGATTTACGTAGGAGTCCTGAAGGCACAGTTAAAACAGCCTTCAATAAACACCTAATAAGTATTTCAAGTTTCTTTAATATGAATTTCTAGAATATGAATTACATATTCTACTCCAAAATATGCCTGGATTTCCTCCATCATAAAAATAAGGTAGCTTCTATTTCAACTCCTTCAAGTAAAATTAACTTGCCATAAAGATTCATCATGTCTGACCTGTTTCATGGTTCCCTTGATACAATGAGAGCCCCAAAGCATCAGAAACAGAATTCTGCACCTACAATTAGTTTTCTTACTTCCTTCGATCTCCTCTTCACATTTAAGCTGATGGAAGAAGATGGGGTAAGAATTCTACTTCCCCTGAACTGAGTCAGCTTAGACCCCCCCTCTAAAACCTGAAAGGACAAGACATTTTAGAGTACTGATGGCTGCCTTTCCAACACCTATTCTCGTCCTCATCCTTTTTCCTAAGAGAAACCCAATTTTCTTAAAGTTACCTATCCTTTTCTGGGTATCCAAAAGGTTTAGTAATGGCCTCAACACCATCTACGGGGGTTGAGTTTCTATGTTCTAATCCAATCACTTTGCTGTAAATGCTTGAGGCATGCCTGAGCAAATCACAATTCTGGCCAATGAGATATGAAAGAAGGTCTGCAGTACGGTTTCTGGGTAAGTTTCCTTGCTATCATACAGCAGAAGAAATGGCTCCATTTTTGTTTCCGGACTTTTTTGCAAGGGAAGAAGGTTAATGAGATTTGGAACTGCTTTTGACATCTTGTTACCACAAGAAGAACCAGGCTGAAGAAAGGGGCAACATAAAAGGAGGCAGAGCAAAGAGAACATCAAAGAAGAGTCAGGAACTGCTCTACGAGTTCTTATGTGAAGTAGTGTACTTAGGTTGGAGCCCTCTGAGTCAGGGTTTTCTGTTTCTTACAATAGAAAGAATCCTAGCTGATACCATCTTTCAGTCACTTGGCAAATCACCTCTCTATGCAACCGTCTATTCTCTGCCTCCCTAGAGCATAAAACCTTATTTAAAGCCAGTACCATTTTAGCAATCTAAGGAAATAAAGGAAGAGGGAACTATTAAAAGAGTAATTTTGTAAATGCCTATAGGGTAATAATAAATATTAGTACCCTAAAACTAACATACAGTTGACAGGTCAATATATGAGAAAATTTACTGAGCACCACTACATATCAAAAACTGTACTGTAAACAGACTGAGGAATCTCAGAGGGAAGGGGGAAGGGAAGGTGGGAAGAGATTAACCAAAGAACTTATATGCATACATGCATATTAAAAAATAAAATTTTAAAAAACTTGTCCTATAGCCCTGGCTGGTTTGGCTCAGTAGATAGAGTGTTAGCCTGCGGACTGAAGAGTCCCAGGTATGGTTCTGGTCAAGGACACATGCCTGGGTGTGGGTTCGATCCCCAGTGGGGGCATGCAGGAGGCAGCCTATCAGTGATTCTCTTTCATCAATAATGTTTCTATCACTCCCTCTCCCTTCCTCCCTGAAATCAATAAAAATGTATTTTTTGGGGAAAAAAAAACAACAAAATATTTCCTGTAAGCTATATATATTTCACATTTAATCCTCAAAATAGGCCTGTTATCTACCTATTATAAACAAAAAAGGTGAAGCTATACAAGACCTGCCAAAAGTTGTTGAATATATAATGGATGAGTAGAAGAGGTAGATTTTGAAACTAGTCAGGCTGGCTCCAAAGCTCAATATTTTTCTTCCTATTTTGGATTTTTGTGGAAAATAGGTAGAGGCACATGCAGTAAGACTGAATTACTGAGTATTACAAACACAGTCTTAAAAACATTTTGAAATAAATTGAGACAAAATTTTCTTTGAGTATTATATGTAAATTTGAATTGTATTTTGACTATGTTTAAAGTGAAATTAACAAAATTAATCAATAACATGAAGAGGTGAATCAGAAATACTACATAGTTAACCAGAAAAAAGGTTATAAAATTGATATCCTTCAAAATGTGTATTTTCAAAAAGAGGTAAATACACACACACACAACTAATTTCAATAACAGTGTTACTAGATTTTTGAAGTCAACTTACACCAGCGGTTCTCAACCTGTGGGTAGCGACCCCTTTGGGGGCCGAACGACCCTTTCACAGGGGTCGCCTAAGACCATCGGAAAACATATATAATTACATATTGTTTTTGTGATTAATCACTATGCTTTAATTATGTCCAATTTGTAACAATGAAAATACATCCTGCATATCAGATATTTACATTACAATTCATAACAGTAGCAAAATTATAGTTATGAAGCAGCAACTAAAATAATTTTATGGTTGGGGGTCACCACAAAATGAGGAACTGTATTAAAGGGTCACGGCATTAGGAAGGTTGAGAACCACTGACTTACATGATATCAATATCCATAAAAATAAATTTTTAGTACAGCTAAATACATTTAATACATTTCTCCTTACCTGTTTGTGATGAGCCGGGAATTAACATATCTATACTCTCCTTCATACTTTTGCTCAGTTATTGTCATCTTACCAATGGGTCTTCTAAGTCGAGTTAGGAACAGCCCAGAAACAAGCAAATAGGCCATCATGCTCGCTGGGCCCTATTATTATCGCAAGAGAAAGACACAAAGGTCAAGAATATTTAAAATTTACTGAACACAACATATACAATTTCTATAATTAAGTTGTGACTTTGAGAGAAGTTGATCTTTTGACTAATTTTTTCCCTTCTTTTCTGAAAAAAACACACACTGGACCTCTAAGCTTTTACTATTCATCTATTCCTCCTCCCACCTCTGCAGCTCATCCCTAGCTCTCCCAAATAGGCTCACCTAAGAACTCCTAATTGCAGTCAGTCATCATCACTCTTTATGGTATCTAACTCTCCCAATGGAACTCTTCTTGATATTTACTCAAGATTCCACAATAATTCAGATCTCCTTTTTACCTTCTCTTTGAATGTTAATATTATTTGAGGTTTCTTTCTTAGCTTGATTCTCCCAAATTTATATCTCTAGTCCCATCATTCCTAAAAACCCAAGAAATTATTTCCAAGTAAGTACTATTCATCTTCACCTCGCTGTTCTATAGAGCCTCAAGCCTAGCTCCCCCAAACAAGCTCCATCTGCCTTTCCATTCTCATACATCTTGCTTCCAGCTCTACACTTTCTAACTTGGTAAGCGACCTCATCGCCCACTGACCATTCTAAGGCAGAGTCTTCAAGCTGACCTTCCCAAGCTCATCATGACACTTCCCTCATTCCCATACATATGCTATGTTCTGCCATACTAAAATAATTGTTTCCTGAACATGCCATTCAATGAGGTTGTTCTTCTGTCTGGCAAGCCTGACATTCAGGGATGTCTACTCATCCTCCTCAAAGCAGCTCAAATATCACCTCCAATTCTCCCAAGAGTAAATATTTTATTCAAACTTCTATTATTGGACTTATCACTCTGCATTATAATTGCACAAATACCTCTTTTCCCAGATCATAATCCCTCCTCAGTAGTTCCTGTCTTACTCATCTTTTCATTCCTACCACCCAGCACAATATGTGTAAAATACAGTGTGTATTCAAGATTTTTTAAATTAAATAAGATTGATTCAATGCATTGCAAGAAGTATGGGCAAAAGTATAACTAAAACATAGTTTCTACCTTCAAAAAATGCAGAATCAGATAAAATGTAATAACCATAAAAAAATATTACAGCATAGAGACAAGAGGGATTAGGCCTATTCACTTCTTATAATGAAAACATGCTATAAGAATGATTAAGTCTGGATCCAGAAAGAGCAAAAAGAAAGGTAGACAATAAAACTGAAATAGAAAACTGCTGTTTCCAGCTTTTTGGAAAGGAACAAAAACCACTATATAAACTATTCACTAATCAACTACAATATATATATTTGGAAAGGAACAAAAACCACTATATAAATTACTTACTAATCACCTAATCAATTACTAAACAACTAAATAATCAAAATTATTTACTAATCAATTTACACACACACACACACACACACACACAAACCAACTATTATTATATGGTTACTACAGGCCTAGCGGACAAATTTGTGCACGGGTGGGGTCCCTCAGCCTGGCCGCCAATCGGGGCCAATTGGGGCCAATCAGGGCCGATCGGGGCCAGCTGGCTGGGGGGAAGGACCATGGGAGGTTGGCTGGCTGCAAGAGGTTGGCTGTGGGAGCGCACTGACCACCAGGGGGTAGCTCCTGCATTGAGCATCTGCCCCCTGGTAGTCATTGCACGTCATAGTGACCAGTTGACTGGTCATTTGGTTGCTTAGGCATATATATATACATACATACATACATACATACATACATATACATATATATACATATATAGACACATACTAGTAGCTCGGTGCACGAAATTCGTGCACTGGGGTGGGGGGGCGGGGGGGAAGGGCCCCTCAGTCTGGCCTTCACCCTCTCCAATTTGAGACCCCTCAGGGAATGTCCAACTACCTGTTTGTGCCCACACTTTTAACAGATAACAGCTCCATTGTTGTTTCTTTCTTATGCTTAAAACCATTGGAATTAGTAGGTATTCAAAGTGTGTATACATTTTCGGGGGACACCCTGTATATCTCTAGTCAGTGGTGAAAGAAACCAACAGCAGATTTGGAACCCCCAGACAGGGAACCTCGCTCACTCCCCACATGTCTCCCCACTTCACTTTCCACCTTCGTGGGCAGCAGGAGAATCAACGTTTTCTCTCATTAATTTGGAAAAGCACGTCCTGTCACCCGCTGCCTGGCAGGAGTGTGCTAGGCCCCAAGCAAGCGAGGCTCAGTCAGGGCAGCCTTCGCTCATGGGTGCTGGCATCCAAAGTGTATATTCCTTCTCTACAGTCGCCCCGACTATCCCACTGTTTCACTGAGAGGACGGAACTCCTCTCCGCCTCTGGGTTCTTGATCTTGAACACTGACCGAAGGCACCTCAGCGAGGGCCGCCCGCGCACACCAGGTGTGTCTGTCTGCATTTGCTCCCACCTCAGCACCTGCATTAACCCCCCAGAGGTGATCCCGTAGCTGCACTGGCCTCCATGGGAACAGGGCATCACCACTCCACCCTCTCACTGTCATCTCACAGGCGCCCACCCTCAGCACCCAGAACACCCAGACACTCTCCAAAGGACGTGAGCACATCAGAGGGGATGTGTGCACATCCTGTGGGGGTGTTAGGCATGCTGGGTTGATGGAAGTGCAGTGGAGAGGCAGGGGGAACTTGTGCACGCCTTGGTTTGCAACTATTGCAGGCGCGGGAAGGTGACAGTGTGCTGGAGGATGTTCGCACACGGGGGGGGGCGGGGGGATGTGCACACCGGAGGCCTCTGGCTTTGCAGATCCGCAAACCCCCGTGGTGCGGCCCGGAGGACGTCAGTCTGGCCCGCCACGGTGGCTGTCCCTGCGATCCTGCACCTTCTGGGCCAGGAGGCGGATCTCTTGCGCAGCCACTCCTGGGCGCTGATGGCCTGCAGGCGCTACTTCAGCTCAGCCTGCAAGCTCCGCTTGTCGTGCTCACAGCTGTCACCATCGCCATGTGGGGAGTACAGGCCGCCCTCCGCTGGCCTGCCTCCCCTGTCCAGAGGCTCTCTGTGCTGCTCACCTGCCCAGAGTGACTGGGGCTGGGTGGAAGCCAGGCGTCCTGCCCTGCCCAACCCCGGCCGATCCGCCCCTGTGCGAGCTGCCGCCCCGCCGGGAAGGGTCACGGATCTGGGTCCGAGACCGCGGACAGCCTCAAGCACTGCCCCCCGCCCGGCAGGATCACAGATCCAGGTCCTGGGATCGCGGACAGCCTCAAGCATTGCCCCCCGCCCGGCAGGGTCACAGATCCGGGTCCCGGGACCGCGGACAGCCTCAAGCACTGCCCCCCGCCAGCCAGTGTCACAGATCCGTGTCTTGGTCCCGTGGACAGCCTCAAGCACTGCCCCCCACCCGCCAGGTCACAGATCCGGGTCCCAAACCACAGACAGCCTCAAGCGCTGCCCCTGCCCGCTAGGTCATGGATCCGGGTCCCAGACCGCGGACAGCCTCAAGCACTGCCCCCTGCCCGCCAGGGTCACAGGTCCGTGTACTGGTCCCGTGGACAGCATCAAGCGCTGCCCCCCACCCGGCAGGGTCACAGATCCGGGTCCCGGGACAGCGGGCAGCCTCAAGCACTGCCCCCTGCCCAGCAGGGTCACAGACCCAGTCCCGGACCGTGGACAGCCTTGCCTGCTGCCGCCCGCCTTCAGTATGCAAATTAGCCGCCATCTTGTTGCTTCAGGGTGGGGGTCCCCACTGGGGTGCCTGGCCAGCCTGGATGAGGGGGTGATGGCTGTTTGCAGCTGGTCACACCCCCTTCAGGGTTAGGGTCCCCACTGGGGTGCCTGGCCAGTCTGGGTGAGGGGCTGAGGGCCGTTTTCAGGCTGGCGGGCGACTGAAGCTCCCAACTTCTCCTTTTTTTTCTTTTTTTTTATTCTGGGATTTATTTACCTTCTATGGCTGTCACTGGAGCTGAGAGCCGGCTTTAGCTCTGAGGCCCGGCTGCAGCTCTGAGACCTCGGCTGCTGAAAGCAGGGATCTGGGTTTGTTTGGATTCTATAATTGAAACACTGCTGCGATCCTGCTGGCTGAAGCCCGGCTGGCCGAAAGCAGGTTTCTGGGTTTTGTTTAACTTCTATAATTGCAACATCGTTTCTTAGAGTGCAAGCTCAGAGGCTGGCAGTGGCAGGCGGGGGACCTTGGCTTCCTCCATCACTGGAGCAAGCAAGCCTCCTGTTCGCTTCAGCTGCCTGGCTGCCGGCCGCCATCTTGGTTGGCAGTTAATTTGCATATCACCCTGATTAGCCAATGGGAAGCGTGTCGGAGCTACGGTTAATTACCATGTTTGTCTATTATTATATAGGATATAGATATAGATATAGATATAGATATAGATATAGATATAGATATAGATATAGATATCCTATATAATAAAAGCCTAATATGCTAAGTTGTCCGTTCAACCAATCAAAGCATAATATGCTAATGATATGCTAAGGCTGTTCAACTGCTCGCTATGATGTGCATTGACCACCAGCAGGCAGATAGTCAACTGGTCAACCAGTCGCTATGTCATGCACTTACCACCAGCGGGCAGATGCTCCGAACGGTAGGTTAGCTTGCTGCTGGGGTACAACCAATCGGGACTAAATGAGACAAGTTGGACACGCCCCGGAGCCCTCCCATGGGCCCTCCCCAGCTGGCCAACCTCCCACGTCCCGCCCTGGCCCCAATCGTGCACTGGTGGGGTCCCTTGGCCTGGCCTGCGCCGTTTCGCAATCTAGGACCCCTCGGGGGATGCTGTAGAGCCGGTTTTGGCCCAATCCCGCAGGCCAGGCTGAGGGACCCCACCAATGCACCAGTCCTCTAGTATGCATATAAGATCTTTGGTTAATCTCTTCCCTCTGAGATTCATCAGTCTGTTCCAGTTTCCATGCCTGTGCATTGAGCGTCTGCCCGCTGGTGGTCAGTGCGTGTCATAGCTACCAGCAGGTCGGCCGGTTGCGTAGACTTTTATATATATAGATAATAATAACATTACATATTAAGTGACTAAAGTTAAACTTTAATAAGAATACTCAGGAAAAATTAAAGGTCATTCTTACCGACACAAATATCAGAGACAGGGTAATTAGGCTCATAGAACAACCAAATATATTATCATAAAATATTCTTGAAACTGGTATAGCAATTCTAAAAGTATTCCTGATATTTTAACACTAAAATTTCATATTTAAATTATTGTTTCCAAATCTCTTTTTAGACATTACTTTGCAACAATAAGTACATGTTATGTTCAATGTTAAACACTGCACTTATGGTTATCAATACCACACAAGTTTTTCAAGTATCTGATTTAAGGAAAATTAAAAAGGCATATTAGAAAAAATTTTAAAGCTCTAGTATAGCATTATTTTATAACTAGACTTTATTAGGTAAATCTTATAAAAACATGTTCTTGAGATATAAAATATATTCTTACAAACCACCCAGCTATTCACAATACAGCATTACAGTAATTTAAAAAGCAGAATAAAAGTAAACTCACCTGAGCTCCTATTGCACTCGTTAACTTGAAGATATACAAAACTATGTCTAAAAATGGCTGTAAAATAAGTATCAGAAGGTATATCAGTAAAAAGAATTAGATTACCTAGATTGATAGCTAATACATTAAATACAAAATGCTATTTAATATATAACATGTAATTGTTAATGTGTTGAGTTCCCATTGTGTATAATGTACTGTAACATGTTGATTAATGATTACATAAAAGGCAGTTATTGTAAAAAAATAGAAAATGGAGAAGCCTGATCAATGTCTACTGACTGGTGGAAAAATTTTATCACTTTTCATCACCTAAGATAGCTCTACTGTGATAAATGACCATTAGTAACTAAGCAATTTCTCAAGGTAGTGCAAAGACATAAAATGACCCAAGTTGTAACTCCAAATGTGCTACCAGCTTTTCTGGTTTCTATATATTTTCACCTATAAAAATGAGAGGCTCTTCCTGCTCTTATTACTGTTTGATTCTATTATTTTGTCAGAACATCTATATGTTGAAATAACATAGTAAGCCTATTTATGAATATAATCTTCGGATATAAAATTCAAATTTCTAGGACTAAAACAAACATTAAGAACCTCACACAGAGACAGCTCAACTGACATGCTAAAAGTGTTTTTTGAAGTGTTTCTCAAGAAATCCAAATTGAGTTCATTCACTTAAGTCTACAGCCACCCCTTTTTGACTGATATATACATTACAAGGATCAGGGACTTGGTTTATTAATTGGCTTGTACTACTTTCTTTTTGCCTTATAAATTATGACACCTGTGAAATTCAAGTACATCTAAAAGTTGATAAAAATTACTCATAATTTAAGTCAGAGTTCAAACAATAAGATAATATTAAAAGTAAGTATATTATAATGCATAGCAATTAATTTGGTATTTTATTCTACTGCAGATGTGACAACACCTGAGCTGTAGACTTGCTCAAGTGCCAAGATATAAAGACTAGAAGTCTACAGAATTACATGAAAAACTTTATATGTTACCCCCACACACTCACATATAAACAGAACAAACTTTAAAATATGGTAATGGACTGATAAATCTCAGAGGAAAGGGGGGACAGGAAGAGATTAACCAAAGAACTTATATGCATTTATGCATAACCCATGGACCCAGACCATAATGTGGTAGGCCTGGGGAAGTGGGGTGGGACGGAGGTGGTGGGCAGGTGGGGAAAGAGGGGACATCTGCAATACTTCCAACAATAAAGATAAATTTAAACAATAAATAAATAAATGTGGTAATGGGTGAAAAGAAAGCTGAATTACTGAACAATATTGGTTTGTCAGAGTTCCTAGAGTTTGGAACCAGTTAGCAAAGGCTTCTTCTGGAGAGCAGAATAAAGACAAGGTTTGGCATGAAGTGAAAAGGTATCTTAGCAGTGGGCATATCATGAGGAGTGAAGCTCTTGTGGATACATATCACTTTTCTAAGAATTGCCTATCCTCCCTCCATCCACATGGTTGAAGCAGAGCATTCCTGTTCTTACACTGTGACCAAGCCCCTTGTATGTAGATATCTGGATCAATTGTGGCCAGAGGCAAAGATACTATAAACGGTCCAGTCTGAGACAAGCTCCCACCGCAGACCAAGAGCTGTAATGTGCATCGAAGTGAGAAATGGAGCATCATCTAAAATGAAGAGGGGAGGAAATGCTGTGTAGATAGTCTCACAGGTACCCACTACATGTCCAAGTGCATGTGTAAATTAATATCTTATGAAACCTTTTTGACTATTATTTAAATGATCTAATAGAATTAGAGATACTGAAGGAGAGAATGGGCAGAAAGAAGTTCTAGCCTAATGGTAATGGATGTAGAACTAGAAGCATAAATTGACCGCAGATCTCTTAACAATTGCAGAAAATAGAGAGATCAAAAGATAAAATGTAAATTTTTGTTGTTTTACTGAAATCAGACTTAATATTCTTACGAAATCTTTATAAGACACTAAATTCTCAGTTCTTAGCTAAAGCACATTATAAAAGTAATATAAAAAAATAATTATAGTTAAAACTATTATAACTCAAATTTTCTCATAAAAGTGTTAAATATTTACATGATGCTCTTATATGAATCAAAACAATTCTACATAAATTTGCTGAGATTCAAAATTCAAAAAATTAACAAGTAATAATAAAAAGTTAAGAAACTTACCTTACTAAGATTTGAATACAGATCAACTACACTGTTACAAAATTTTTCTACATCTTGTGTAAGCAGCTGGTCTGGGTTAGCTATTCTGTTGTCCAGATTCCCCATTTTATAATATGTGAAAGCTCTAAAATAGCAATAAAAAAATGACTTTAAAACAAATAATATTTTTTAAAAACTCACATTATACTACTTAGTTCACATTAATAGAAACAGAAAACTTTGGAGTTGGAAGAGGCCCCAGAGATTGTCCTAATTTACTTTAAAGATGAGGAAACAAGTCTAGAGACGGATGACTTGCCAATTAATGGAAGAGCCAGAATTATAGATTCTAAATACTGGGTCTTTCCTTATGTTTCTGGGTCTAAAAGCAATTTTCTTGAAAACATAGCCAACAAAAAAGAAAATCTACATCACAACATCATAAGTATTACCGTTCAATTTAAGTATTTTAATATAAAAATAGGTTATTACTTACTGGAGATACTCCTCATAGAGGTATTTAGTTAGCCTTACTCGGAAGCACAGTTTGAGCTCATTTAACCCAAACTTCAAGAAGTTATTAACCAGAGAGATCTAAAACAAACAAACACATATTACTGATTTTGCTTAATTTCTACTTACTAAATCATATTGTATTTCTCTGTCATTGGCTATGTCCCCAAATCCTATGATTTTTATAATTAATAGTCCAAACTTATATAATTCAGTTCTGTTTTACTTAGAATTTACAAAGATACAAAAAGAACATGCTAACCAGTGATGGCAAACCTATGACACACGTGTCAGAGGTGACACACGAACTCATTTTTTTGGTTGATTTTTCTTTGTTAAATGGCATTTAAATATATAAAATAAATATCAAAAATATAAGTCTTTGTTTTACTATGGTTACAAATATCAAAAAATTTCTATATGTGACACGGCACCAGAGTTAAGTTAGGGTTTTTCAAAATGCTGACAAGCCGAGCTCAAAAGGTTCGCCATCACTGTGCTAAGCCAAAGGCTCTATTATCCTGATATGTTAAACTTTACTTGGAGCTTAATTTTAGAGTATGTTAATATCATTAATTCTGAGAAGTCTCTTGCTACCTTTTATTTTGGTAGAAAAAAAAGCCAAATGTGTCACCTTCCTATCTAATGTAAAGAACTTGCTTTTAAGAAGTACTGACATTTGTGTATACTTTCTGCTTCCTACTACCAGTGTTACAACCCCAGACAATGGAATTCTATACATATTGCATCTGTATTTGTTTTAAAAAGTAGTATAGCCTGACTGGCGTGGATCTGTGGTTAAGCATCAACCTATGAACCAGAAGATCATGGTTTGATTCCCGATCGGGATACATGCCCAAGTTGCAGGCTTGATCCCCAGTGTGGGGCATGTAGGAGGCACCCAATAATGATTCTCTCTCATCACCTTTCCCTTCCTCTCTGAAATCAATAAAAATATATATTTTTTAAAGTTGTATGTCTTATACCTACAGATTATTTCTAGAGTCATATTTACTATTTTTTTCCATCATTATATTAAAACTAGCTGGTGCACAAAATTCGTGCACGGGTAGGGTCCCTAGGCCTGGCTGGCAATCAGGGCCGATCGGGGCCTTCTGGCTGCCAGCAGGGGTCTTCCTTGCCTGGCTGATGGCTACAGGCCAGGGCCTTCATTCATTCCATGCTGCCCCCTGGTGGTCAGCACATGTCATAGTGAACGACTGAACTCCCAGTCTCCAGGTTGAACTCTGAGTGGACACTTTGCATATTAGCTATATATATATATGTATATGTATATACATATTTTTCCATAGTTCTGAGTCATATTTACATAAAATATTTATCCAAAAACAAAACAAAACTGATTTTCTGCTGAATCTCAGTTTTTGACTGATAGCTAAGCTACTTATCTCAGCTTTATTAAATCTGGCATATAATTAATGCATTTTACAATCAAGTTCCTCCTTTTAACTCCCACATTTAAAATACTAAAATTCTTATAGTGCCAATAAAATGGAACAAAAAACAAAGCTAAGAAAATCACTTATAATTTAGAACAGCGGTTCTCAACCTATGGGTCACAACCCCTTTGTGGGTTGAACGACCCTTTCACAGGGGTTGCCTAAATACATCCTGCATATCAGATATTTACATTACGATTCATAACAGTAGCAAAATTACAGTTATGAAGTAGCAACGAAAATAATTTTATGGTTGGGGGTCACCACAACATGAGGAACTGTATTAAAGGGTCACGGCATTAGGAAGGTTGAGAACCACTGATTTAGAACAAATACCTTTATTTTTAATAAATTCAGATAATAAATTACAGTTTAACTTAAACTACATCAGTGGTTTGAGTTACTATAATATTGTGGCCTGAAGCAATAAATGTAAATCAGGATGATTTTGTGCCGCCCTCCCCGCCCCAAGCTCAGCCCCATGGGACATTTTTGGTTCTCACACTGGGGAATTGGGGGGGAGAGGTGGGGGAGAACTACTGCCATTTAGTGGGATTCTATAAATATTCAAGAAATCTTGGCTTAAAGGTTAAAAATAAATCCACATATGTAGACATTCCTTTAATTTTTCATCTAGTGTAAAGGTTTACATTGAAATGTTCTACTACAGTTTTAAAACTAAATTCAAAATAGGAACTCAGTATCATAAGTCTTTAAAGAAGTTAATAAGTAAATATCCTTAAAGATTTTTGGAAGATGCAATTTTTTCCCTGTATAAATTTAAAGAATTCCACTTACGAGAGGCATGGCAGCGATGAAGTTGAATAAGTATCTCTTGAAATCTTTTCTGCTACGACCAATGATACCACTGCAAACCACCACATGCAATGCATTAGTTGCAAAAGAAGCAATATTTTACACTAAGAAAACTTCTGAAACAGCTGTAAAATTACTTTTGCAAATTTTTATTGAATCAAAAGAATACGAAAAAAAGATGCTAAATATTTTCTTACAAATACATGTTTCAACTTTTGAAATTTTATTGTTTTAAACAGCTTTCTTAAAAAATCACTCTCTATAAAAGGCAACATTAAATAAGAGTAACTAGTTCTTTCCTTAGTAAAAATGTTAATTTTTTAAAAAGGCTTAGGCTGCCACAAAAGGGGTTTAAATGGCAAAACAATTAACTCTACAGACTCAGGAATGGGTTACTATGGATAAAACAAACTAGTATTTCTTTGTTTTTAAAATGTTTTAACATTCTGATTCTGCCTTGTTATGAACACATAGACTTAATGAGAGAGATCAGCAAATTCCTACTATAAAGGATCAAGAGCAAATACTTTAAAGTCTCTGGGCCACCAGGTCTCTGTTGCAAACACTCACTTCTGCTATTGTAGAACAAAAACTGCCAAGAATGAAACCAGTGCCATCCTAATAAAATTTTACAACAGACGGCATTGGGCTTTGACCTGCAGGTCTACTTTGCTGACCCTGGAAACTAAATAACTCAGTAAATCAACAGGGTTCCTCAGAGTCTCACGGTCTGTTAACATACTTCAACTAAACTAGCTCCTCTTTTTTTAATCTGTTTTTGATCAATTTTACATACTTATTTGTTTGTAAAATATCCATTAAGAACTTTTAATGTAAGGGTTCCACTACTTTTTTAAAAAGTTTGAAAGCCATTAATATAATGTAAGTAAAGAATATCTGAGTACTGTACATCTATGATCCAGTAAAGAGATAGAATTTATTTGATCACACACTTTCATCAAATAACATTAATACTTCAAGTATAAATAAAATATATTTTGAAAAATACTGCACTAAATTATTTAAACCTAACTACACACACACACACACACACACACACACACACACACACACACACACGGTATATGATAGAGAATAATTTGCTTTTAATGAAGGATTAGGTGAATAATGCCAAGTTATGTTAGCTGATCTTTTAGATAAAAAAATAATAATTCCATGGTCAAATAAATTCAGGAAAACCTGGCTTAAACAAAGCTAACAAATATCTTTACCGAAGACCTTCTCAAAGCACTTAATGTATATGTGCACTGTGACTCTCTGAGAGGACTTTGTAGTATGTTGTAGCATTTCCTCTGTCATAACTAGCATTCCACAGAACATACTTTGGGAAATGTTACTTTAGACTGGTATAAAAATCAATAGTCCAATTTTGATAAAACTACTAAAAAGTTAAAAAATTTAAGTTGAGCTAGAAAAAAGTTAAAATAGAAGCACACAAAAGTGTTGTTTATAGCAATAAGAATATTAGAGACACAAAGCAATTAAGACAGAACAAAAGGTTTAGAGATTTAAAATTGTTTGAACCAAACTTTACATAAAACCAAGTGCTTTAGTGCTGCCCAAGCTGCGAAACACACAAAATTATAAAACTTTGGTAAAACACATGCCATCATTCAGCAACTGTTTACCACTGGAATAGCAGCTATAAATTTAAAAAATGGTTCCTTGAATAAAGCTTTATTTCTGCTTATTATTCCACTGCAAAACAAAATAATAACAATGAAGAATATAGTAGTCCCAATCATTATTACTTTCAATACATATAAGAATCTTATAAAAGATAAAGATGCTGCTTGTAGCCAAATGGGTGAAAGTAAAATATATTTATGATTACGTGTAACAGCAACAAGATAGAAGGATTCACCTCCATATCATGTAATTACCACAGTTTCTTAAAGAAAAGGTGTGTCCTATTTAAAATGTGCCCACACTCCAAAGGAATTAGCCACTGTTAACAAATAAGCCTAAAAGGTATGAAGGATATTAAAATGAGGTACACTAAGCACCAAAGCAGAAACGGATGAATCTAAACCTACTTTGGAAGACAAAAGGGAAACAAGAGATAAATCCATTTACAATGTAGCTTTAGTAACAAGTTAGAGAAATGTGTAAATTTTTCAAATAATGTTCCATATTATGAACTCACAATATTTTAAAACTTGTAATTTGACTAAATATGAAATAGTTCATATTTCTGCTACAGCAGAAACTCAAAAATATTTATTAAGGAGAAAATTAACTTTAAAATGATCATTTCACAATTGGTAAATTTGAGTAAAAGTACTGTTTAAGGTAGTTCCTTATACTATTCTTACAGCTTTTCCGTAAGTTTAAATTGTATCAATATAAGTTTTTTAAAAGCTATTAAATTAAAAAAATATTTTTTTTACATCTCCTAACTAAAACTGCAACAAGATGATTACTCTACAATTAAAGGCTGGCTCATACTACACAATAACTTTCCTCTATCCACAATCACCAATTAAATTAATGCATCACATACTCTTAGTTAGGCATTTTCTACAGGACAGTAAGTCTTTAAGAAAATATGTATTGGCATCTATTCAATTAAAGTTGGAAATCTCTAGTTTAGAAGAATAAATAATAACACTTTTGGATTACAAAAACATGAAATCAAAATCTGAATAAAAGGGAAAATCTTTTAAAAATAAACAAATCTCCTGTATTATACCATGACTGTGCAGGGTTTTAATATGTAACATATGACAAATTCTATACAGATATTTAATACCAGAGGCCCCGGTGCACAAAATTTATGTGTGTGTGGGGGAGGGTGGGGGGGAGGACAGGGGTGTCCACAGCCCGGCCTGCGCCCTCTCTCAATCTAGGACTCCTCAGGTAGGGTCCCTAGGCCTGGCCGGAGATCAGGGCCTATCGGGGCTTTCCTTCCCCTGGCTGCGTAGGTGTGATCGCTTAGCGGGCCTGGGCCTCCCTCTGCGGTGCGATCGCTGGCCGGCCCCACACACCCGCCACAGTGTCACTGGCCGGAGGCCTAGGCCTCCATCTGTGGGGCTATTGATCACGGGGCTCTGTGATCGATCACCCAGCAGAGGGAGGCCCTGTCCACCCAACCAGGGCTCCACGATCCATTGCTGCGCAGAGGGAGGCCCCACCCACCGGCCGGGTAGCCTGGGCCTCCCTCTTTGGGGCGATAGCGGAGGGCTCCCCCCATTGATCGCCCCGCCAGCCGGTGGCCTGGACCGCCCTCTTTGGGGCAATCGATCGTGGAACCCCCGCATCGGTCACCCCGCAGAGGGTAGCCTAGGCCTCCCTCTGTGGGGTGATCATAGGGTGATGGCAGGGCCCCCCGACCAATCGCATTGCACTTGCCTTGGAAGGCCTGGCTCCAGGGGGTGTCATAGCGTGGTCATCCGGAAGGTCATTCGAATGGTCGTTCTGCTGTTTGGTTGTTCGGTCGATTTGCATATTACACTTTTATTATTATAGATAATGTTACTCAGAGCGGATGTAACCTATGTATTTTTGCCACAGGTAATAGTTGGGGAGTCTATATTTTTAACAGATATGGCATCTAAATAATACAGCCATCAAAGAAAAAGCATAAAATTATATAATAATGTAAAAGAACATCACTTTTCTCTACATTAAATACATAAAGGATTCCAATAAAACCGATCCTTCTAAAGCTAATATGCTAACAACAATGAACATCTGAACTATGTTTATATTGAAATTCTTAGATTTGTTAGAGGCACACAGACACAAAACTGACCAGACTCTGCCCACAGACACCTACAAACATTGGAGACTAGACACTCAACAAGCTCTCAAATTGGATTCTAACAAGATTTTTAGGCCTTCAGTTTTAAATATGAATATAGAGCCAAGAGTAGCAAACTGCTTGAGGAAAGCCTCCAACAAAATCAGAACAACAGTCAAAGGATCATGAAGGAAACAAACAAAAAACAATGCTATAAAAATGAACATCCATACAAAAAGATAACTCTTAGAAATAAAAATATAATAAAAATTCTCTGGATGATAAAGTTAAAAGGAACTTCCTAGAATACAGAATAAATATCAGTAATAAAAACAGTATAGAGCCCGACCGGTGTGGCTCAGTGGTTGAGTGTCAACCCATGAACCAGGAGGTCACAGTTCGATTTCCTGGTCAATGCACATGCCTGGATTGCAGGCTAGATCCCCAGTAGGGGTTGTGCAGAAGGCAGCCAATCAATGATTCTCTTATCATTGATGTTTCTCTTTTGCTCTCTCTCTCTCTCTCTCCCTCCCTCTCTCTCTACCTCTCCTATCCTCTCTCTGAAATCAATAAAAACATATTTTAACAAAACAAATAGTATAAAAATTATAGCATAATCAGATGATCAATCCAGTACATACAACACTCAACTAATAAGGATTCCAGAAAAGGCATAGATAAAAATGGAGAGGAAGAATGATGGAAAAGAGCTCACCTCATGCCCAGCACAATGAAGTAAAAAAAAAAAAAAAATGAACAAATCATACCAATATTCAGTAAAATTCCCCAACACCAGCAATACATCAGTAACAAATGATCATAAAAATTTCCAAAGGTTAAGAACCAGTAAGTCCTATCCTATATAATAAAGAGGTAATATGCAAATTAACCCTCACGCCCTCACAAAATGGCTGCCTACCACCAAGCCAGCAGCGGGGTTAGTGAGGGACGACCAAACGACTAAACAAGCAGGCTGCGTGAGGCGACCAGGCTGACAGGGGGTCAGTGAGGGACGACCAAATGACTGAACAGCAGGATGCATGGGGGACCAGGCCAGTGGGGGGGAGGGGGCCATGAGGAGCAACCAGGCCAGTTGGGGGAGGGGGGGCAGTTGGGGGCAACCAGGCTGGCAGAGGGGGGCAGTTGGGGGCAACCAGGCCAGCAGGGGTAGGCAGTTAGGGGCCATCAGGCTGGCACGCACAGGCAGTGAGGGGCGATTAGGCCAGGGAGGTGGCAGTTAGGGGTGACCAGGGAGATGAGCAATTAGGAGCCAGCGGTAGAGGATTGTGATAGGGATGTCCAACTGCTGGTTTAGACCAGACCCCCAGGATTGGGCCTAAACTGGCAGTCAGACATCCCCCAAGGGGTACTGGGTTGGAAAGGGTGCAGGCTCAGCTGAGGGGACACCCCCCTGCCCCGGGCACGAATTCCATGCACCAGGCCTCTAGAAGATAACAGGGGATACTTTCCAAATTCTGACAAAAAGTAATTTCCAACTGGGAATGTATAAATACTTCTCAAGTATTATCAGATCTAAAAGGTCTCAAAAATGTATTTCCCTTGTACCTTTTCTCAGAAAAAGACTGAATTTGCCAAAATGAGAACATAAACTGAGGAAGAAGAAAACAAAAGATACAGAAAACAGGTTATTCAATTCCTGCAGCAGAGAAGTATGAAAGAAATTCCCAAGATCATGCATGATAAAAGCAAATTCAAACATGACTGCTATTTAGTGGGCCTAAAATGCAATCCATCCTGGTTAGAGCAGGAAGACAGGAAACTAACAAGAAGCATAGAGTGGGTAGTAATAGATAAAATCAATAGATTATTTGGTATATGTGACCATATTACAATACTGAGATGATTTTACAGTGTTGTCAATAAGCTTGAGTTCAATTAGTAAGAAATAGGCAAAAACCTAAAGCACACAAAACCTTGCAATTTCTAAACGCTAGGAGAAACAAAACATTGTATATAAAAGAAACTACTAAAATATATGCCATGTGGCTCAGCTATAAACAATAGTCAAAATCAAGTAAACAATAAATTCCAATTTAATAAAATATTGTAATAGAACAACATTGAGAGGGAAAGGATGAGCATGGGCATGGCTAACAGTGTAAAAAGCTGATTCTCATCTTCCAAAGTAGGAAATAAATACATACTTTAAAACTGAAAATTCTAGAAACAGTAACACAAGTATGTCACACTGAAGTCCAGAGATAAAAAAAGAGAGAGAGAGAGAGAGATGAAACAATAAAAAGAACAGAAAATTACTGGCTACAGGAATGACAGTTATGACTGGAAGAAATGGTGCACAGGATTGATACGTTTGTGACTAACTCCTGCAAGACTATCTGACATTAAGCTATGTTCACATATCATTTTTAAGTTGTTTATATATTACTTTGACTAAAACCTTTTAAAAGGCCTGGGACTGACCACAGGTTTCAGAGAGACTTGTGTTGAATACAGCCTACACAATTTACACATATTCAGAGGCATGTGATTAGGGCTTTAAGCTTATGCAGAAAACCCTTATTCTCTGAGACAGCTGAGTCAGAAAACATGTACATAAAGAAAGCATTCTTCCTCTTCCAACAAATCCTCAAAGTAGCAAATCGAGGATATGAGGGGGAATAATCTTTATTTCAAACTTTGGGAACATTTAAAAAGTGTAAGTACTATCATTCCAAAAGTTATCTTAGATTAAGTATTTAAGACATTTTCTGATAAAATATTACCTACCAGTAAACAAAATTTCAAGAAAAATTTTACTCTGACATTCAATTGGTATTATGAGGAATAAGTTCTTTATCAACACGTTATTTTTGTTTTTAGACCCAAAATTATCAATTGCAGTAATAATTAACATGTAAAATGACTATAATAAAAATTTATAAACACTAACTTCAAAAACTAAAAGAAATGTCTAAGAATTGTTTTTCCTTTTAATCAACATTTTCAATGTGATTCCCTAAAATGTTTGATATTTTCCTACAAATTATCTCATTAATTTTAGTCATCCAATGTGGTGACTTTTTAAAATCCCCAATACTTGTAAAGCATTTACTATTCTGCATTTTAATTTTCCTCTTATTTGTCTCTAACCCTCTATAAATTGTCAGCTCTGCAGGCCTGGATACAGGGAGGGTCTCTCCCATTCACCAGTATATCCCTCTCATAAAATTCCTGGCACATGGGAGACACTCAATAAATATCCAAGTAAATGAACAGAGACATAATTTGATTAAAGTATTTACCTAATGTAGAATATAATTCTTGCTCGTTAAGATACTGTTTATGAGACAGGTTAGTATTTCATACATATGGGAGGAAGGTGAATAGAAAAGTACCTTTCAATGAGTGTCCCATTTTGAATCATCCAAACATCACAATATGTTCGAGACACCAGCATAACAGCAATAAGTATCAAGTAACCTGTCTAAAATAAATCAGGTACAGTAAATTAAATAAATGCATTTTAAAAAGTTTAAAAAACAAACAAATATTTCTTTGGTAAAGATTTTTTATTTCTAAATTCAAAGCTTTATTCTAGCTTTATTACAGTTGGCTATTTTACCTATAGGCAATTTTTTTAAATTTTTTAAATATAAATGGAAAGGCCTTAAAGATCACTTAATCTAACTTTCTTATTCAGAATTCAAAAGTGAATCCCAGGCAGGTTAAGTGACTTGTCTTCATACAATTAGTGTCAGAAATTAGCATTATTAATAAAATTACCCGAATCACATGTATTATGATTATCTTGTATTTTCAATATATTATTAATAAAGAAAAATGATAATAACTGTCAATATACAATTACACTACAAATATGGAAGACTATACTTTTGCCCAAGTAGAATAAGTTTGGTTCCGTTTTTTAGGAAAATCTCTAAGAGTGCCTCTGCCCTCACAGGACTTTCAATTTAGTTATTAAGGCAAAATTTACACTAAAAAAAGGGAAGAAAACAGACCAATGTAGGTATATTTGCATCACTTCATGTGCTAAGTAACAGGATAAGAAGGCCTTGGGTAGCAAAAGAGGGTAATGATATTAGGAATACATTAATCATACCAAGTAAATCAAAAGAAAGAATGAGGATTATGAGTAAAAAAAAATGATTTAATGAAAAATAAATGGATTAAAACCATATGAATTACAGTATAGCATATCCAGCAGAGTTTAGACAATATAAAACTACTGAAAGCTTGTAGGTAGAACAAAATGTTAAAGGTACTGTTTAGAAAACATTACTGAAGCAATGCTGTACAAGAAGAATTATCAAGGGGGAAGAGATGAGATATCAAGTGGCTGGCTAGTAATCAATTATCTCTGTGTTAGATGAAAATCTACCCTCCAACCTGCAATACACATTCAAAACTGACCTTAAACCTTCTAAATAGGAAGACTATGATAGTAACACAGAAACTAAAGTCGGGGAAGCTGGTGTGTGGCAGGGGGGACATTTGTTGGATAATGTGCTTAATTTCAAAGTTATGGAATTGAGGGGCAACTGCATCTAATACTTATGTAATTTTTTCAAAACAAATACTTTTTTTAAAAGATTAAGGTACTAAAAATATAGCCCTTTAAGTGAAAGACAAGACAGGGAGTCATACACAGAAGTAGTGAATGAAGCCATAAGAAAGAAGATGGTGTGAAATAAAGTTTGTGATGAGCTATGACAAATGCTACCCCAATGTTTGCTGGAAAGAAACAATACCATCTTTCTACCCTATCTTACCATCTCAAAGTTAGATATTCAATTGACAGTAGAACCTATTGATTTTAATAAATGTTGTCTGTATGCCATTCTAACTGTAATGTTAACTTTTAATTCAGACCTTTCATACAGTCTCAATCCTAAATTAATCACTTCAGTTGTATAAAGGTAACATTAGATAAAGATAGTTTATTTATTTCTTCATTTTATGCTCTTGGCTTAATTTATCCTTAAAGTAAGTATCAAGTTTACTTGTGTCACTTTAGCAAAATCTGGCAAAATAATTATTGATAGCCCCGAAAAGCCTTTATATAAAAGATGTAGTTAAAATCATCACTATTCCCATTATTAATGGGTTTGCAGACCATGACAGAAATTAAAGATTTGCACTAATGTAGGCTTTCTCTCACCTTCTGGTATATATGAATTTCCATATATTCATATGTAGTATTTTCATTTCTCTATTTCATAAATTAGTTAATCTATCCCTACCTCCAATCTTTTTTGATTTCTATAGGAGTTTACTTCACTTTCTTGAACTAAGGTTAAATTTGGATTTTCATATCCTTCAAAAATGGTTCATAAAATAACTCTAGACAAAACTGGCAGGTTAGCCAAGTTAGGCTCTTCTACCTCCTTACTAACTCCTAGAGATCTATCCAATGTCTCACATTCATTTTGTACCCCTGCTAAGTAATTAAATAAGTTTATGCTGTTAACTGACGAGGGGGGAAATATATGAATCTTTCCAGAGAAGCTTGTATTTTAAATGTATATTTTATTGATTTTTTTACAGAGAGGAAGGTAGAGGGATAGAGAGTTAGAAACATCGATGAAAGAGAAACATCGATCAGCTGCCTCCTGCACACTCCCTACTGGGGATGTGCCCACAACCAAGGTACATGCCTTTGACCAGAATCGAACCTGGGACCCTTCAGTCCGCAGGTGGACGCTCTATCCACTGAGCCAAACCGGTTAGGGCGAGAAGCTTGTATTTTAAATAAGAACTCTCCAAAGTCAGGTAGGTTGTAGAATAAGAAAATAACTAACTATGCCTGAAGAGTCCTGGGAAACCTTCATAAAGAAGATAATGAGCATTAAGCTATTTTTTTTTAAGTATTTGTTACGTTTAAAAAATAACTTAATTTTGTTGGGGTGGGGGCCCGGGATGTCATAGACATGAAGCCATGACAGCACACAGCCTGACTGAAACATGGCAAAGAATCTTCTAAGCAGATGATATTGAAAGGAAGGTCAAAGTCAGGTTCTGATTTATCCTATAAGAAAATATATATATTCTTTTTATTAGGATTTTAACTAGTTAGGAAAGAAGAAGCAAACAGACCATTTAAGAGATTATAATAATCCAATAGAAACGGAAAGCAACTAATTAAGAGAAACTCAAGGATACTTGGAAAAACATTTAAAATACAAGGGAGGAAGCATATTTTAAAAGTTTCCGTGTGATCTCATTTTTATTATGTGCTCACACCAAAATAATAACAGAAGTTTTCTCTGAGTGGGAGGCTAACAGGCACCAAGAAGAAAAAAATATCTATCTGCATTTTCCAATTTTTCTTCAAGGAACACACTATCTCTATCTAATCAGAAATAAACAAATGTTTTTATTTTTTAGAGTTTCTTAATGGTGGAACTCTTAAGAGTTCCACTTAAGGGTGGAAGGAAGGGGGAAGGAGAGCAAGTCCAGTGTAATGGAGGAATATTTATTCTCCTCGGGAATCACATTGTTTTTGGGGCATCTTATTCTTTTCTTGCTATTAATAGATTATAAGGCAAATGCTTTTTAAAATTTGAACAATGGGAAACATCGTAAGATAAATTTGGCAGATAAGATTAAAAGGGGAGATTCTCTGAAATGAGACTAATTAAAGAACACTATAACATCCAGGCTAGAATATTTAAAAGAAAAACTGTCAGATCCCAGTGACTGAAAAGATAAGGTATGAGGAGAAGAAGAGTCAAAGGTGATGATACTGGTGCAGCCACTGTGGAAAACAGTATGGAGTTTCCTCAAAAAATTAAAAATGGAGCTCCCATTTGACCCAGTGATCCCACTTCTAGGAATATGTCCCAAGAAATCAGAAACACCAATTAGAAAGGATATATGCACCCCTATGTTCATTGCAGCACAATTTACAATAGTTAAGATTTAGAAACAGCCTAAGTGTCTATCAGCAGATGAGTGGATTAAAAACCCGTGGTACATCTACACAATGGAATACTACGCTGCTGTAAAAAAGAAGGAACTCTTACCATTTGCGACAGCATGGATAGAACTGGAGAACGTTATGCTAAGCGAAATAAGCCAGTCGGAGAAAGACAAATATCACATGATCTCACTCATTTGTGGAATATTATGAACAAAAATAGATCCAGAGACACAGAAGCATCCAACAGACTGTCAAATCTCAGAGGGAAGGCGGGGGGGTGGGGAGGGGGGGTGGGGGTGGGGAGGGGGGGTGGGGGTGGGGGAGATAAGAGATCAACCAAAGGACTTACTTGTATGCATGCATATAAGCAAAACCAATGGACACAGTCAGTAGGGGGATGAGGGCATGTGCTGGGGGGTGAAAGTGGCCAGGGAGAGGTCAATGGGGTGAAAAGGAGACATATGTAATACTTCAAACAATAAAGAATTTAAATTTTAAAAAAAAAGGTGATATTTTTAGTTGTATAAAAGGAAAATACTGAAGTGATTAAAGATGGAAAACACAGCAATATTTTCTTTTTTAATCATTATAAACACCTATCTGTAATATGTTAAACAATAAAAAAAATTTTCAGACCAGTAAAAAAGAAAGACACATCAATAAAGATAATCTTGATAAAAGGGCAAAGAAAGGGATAATAAAACTTTATTCCTACAACCAACTCACTGAAAATATTTGAAATTTCAGATATCATTTTGGTATCTTTTTTAAAAACATGCTTAAAAATTTTATTAATCAATGTCACCCCAATAAATTCAATAAATAAATTTAAAAATAAACAAAACATATTCAGTCAAATATGAAGAAGTAACCCTGAAACCTATCCCATATCAATGTGACTTATTAATATCTTAATGAAATAAAATGATTTGTCTTTCTAAATTTAATCTTGTTTTCATTATAATAGAGCACCACAACTTAGGGTACCTGCACTAATGTACTCTAGAATGTTACATAAAACATAATAAAATAATATTTCATAAATAAGAGAAATTTTAAAACTGGCACTGAACAATAAGGATACTTATGTGACAATGATTTAAAGACAAAAATTTAGTAGTCACCATAACCCATATAGAAAACATTTGACCTTAGTATGACAAAAGCTTTATAATTTATTATTCTAATTTCATGTAACCTTTAAAGTTGAACACTTAATATTATAATTTCACTTTGTTTATATATGACTTACCTCTTTACAAAATGTTCTAGGGACCATGATTTTCAGAATCCGTGACAGCCTTGAAAAAAACACCTTGTCCACCATAGCTCGCTCTTTTTTCCCTTCTTTCTATATAAAAAAACAAAACAAAAATTTAATATAGCTATAACAAATCTACAACAAATAAGATTAAAGAACCATGTATTATCTAAGTCAATATAAACTACCAAGATGTTATTACATTGAGAAAATACAGAATTGTACTGCTCTTCATATTCAAACATACTTTCAAGAAAATAAGATGTTTACCAAAAACAATAAGCTGCGTTTGTTTTATCTTGAACATGAATTTCCCTGATATCAATTGCATGAAACTTTTAGATTCCTAAATTTATCATTTAGCATTTCTAATATGCAATTTGCCAATTCACTCTCTCTTCCTCATAAATTCAATGACAACGTTTCTTCACTCATACAGCTCATAGAGCAGGGGAAACATAAAAATTAATAAGTAAATTGTTACAGATAGACTAGGCAGAGTCATGAGAAAATGAAGAATGATTCAGACAAGATGATGAGAAAGGTCTCTTTGGGAAGGTGGCATTTAGGCTGAGATATAAACAAAGTGAAACTATGTGATCAGTTTGGAGGGAAGAGGGTAGTGAAGGACAAGAAATACCAAGCAGAAAAACCTAGTGGTAGGAATAAAATTGGAGCAAGATGATAGTATTGCTAGAGCAAAGGGAACAAAATGAGAAAGCTGAAGGTAGGCAAAGACCTATAAAGTACAGAGGGTTAAAGCCACAGTAAGGATTTAAACTTATTGTCAGTGTAGAGGGAAACCACTAAAGATATTTAAGAGTAGTAATTAATCTTATTATCCTCAGACATTTCTTCATTTTGACAGGTTTGCAACGATAAGGACAAAGTGATATGAATTGGGTATGGTGGAGGCTATTTACTTTATTACCCTTGGACTGTCTGGAAGAATAGACAGGAGGAACTTCTTGGGATAGATAAGACACTCCAGAAGGAACCCATCCCCTACCTACCCACATCACCCACAATCACAGCTCAATTATTTGTTAACGACTATACTATTGATAAATACCCAAGATATAGTGAATTCTATTAGTTAGACAAACTTTAGTGTAAATATGCTATAGTTAAATTAGCATCTATCTTGATACCCTATAGTGAATAATTTTTGTACTAAATTAGACTAGTAATAAGCTACCATCTGTGTCAGACACTGTGCTAAGTGCTTTATAATCCTACTAGTGGCCTGGTACACGAAATTTGTGCACATTAAAAGGGAATTAATTAGAGGAAATATTTTAATATTGCTATTTGCCCTTTCTCTATAATAGAAGTGTCAGAGATGAAAGAAAATTAGTGAAATGTATATGAAAATCTCCCTCCTGTCAGAGTCTGGGGTGTGCCGCGGGACCCAGAGTCAAGTCCCCGCCCACCCGCATGCACCTCAAAGTCGCGTGAGACCCAGACCTGACCAGCCCCATCCCCATCAGGCCCCACCAGGCAGGGGGCACAGCCTCAGGTCCCCCATCAAGCTCTGCCAGGCAGGGGGGTACAGCCTCAGGTCCACCAGCCCCGGCGGGAAGGCGGGAGGGCGTGAGGGCAAAAGGGTGTGACAACTATTTGCATATTAGCTCTTTATTATATAGGATTAGGCACAGAATGTAGTACAAAATTATAGACCAAGAAAGGAAGTCTCAAGTTTGTGTTTGTAGAATTCAATCAGGAAGACTGATAAAAAGAACTGGATAAAAATCAGCCAATCCTACAACTGTTGGAATAGAGTTCAGGTCTTTCAAACCTTACTGAAGGTTGCAAATCTCATCCTACTGAGTTACAGGCCCAGTCTACTTCACTTACACATACATGCAATCATTGATTCAATATTTACTCGACCCAAGGCACTGTTCTAAATGATACAGACACAGCAGTAAATAAAACAGACAAAAAGCCCTACTCTATTTACTTAGCTAGCCTATTCTTTTCCAGGCAATCTCACAACTTCAACCTAAATCTTCCCTTTTACTCCACCAAACTGAAAAGAACAAGGAAAAGGCAATACACACCAATTACCTTAAAAAAAATAGTTAAAACTTCTACTTTCAAATTTTTTCTCCTGTCACTGCCTCCCTACCTCACCTCATCCCATCAATAACCAGTTTTCCATTGCTAACTTGAAGTGAAATAGAGTAATTCCAAAGTGAAATAGCCAACTTCTGACTTAAACAGAGCACTACCTACTTCTACATAGGTTCACAAAAATTACATAAATAAATAAATAAGTAAATATCTACGGCAAACAATGAGGAAGGTTTAAAAAAAGTTCTAAGAAAGTAACATTGAAGCATTAAAACAAAAACAAAACACAGCTACCTGGTATACAATTCCTCCTCTTTTTTTCTGTTCCTGTTGTCACTGCTCCTATTGCTTAAGCTGTCTGAAAGCCTGCCTTGATTACATTTCAATCCATGAAGGGAACTATATACTTCTTAAAGTCCTCACAGGATTTTCTGCAAAAAACAAAAACAAAAAACACCACCTGGACTGGAGGACTGGCTCAGAAGAGCTCAAGAAATAGAGATGCTCTACCATTCTTGAACCTTGAAACCACTCTAAATGAGAATACCTACAGAAACATTACATTTTATAAACAGTAAGCATGCATTTTAAATTTATAATTGACTTTCCCCACCTCTAAATTTCCCAGTAATTTCTTAAAAATACAAAAACCACTTTGTTGCTATAAATTTAACATATAAATTATAGAAAAAGCACGCAAGCCATTAGATAAAGACCAGTTAAGAAGTTGAAGTATTAATATAACCAGAAAAAAATGTACCTAATATTCAGGAGGCAACAAGGGCGTTGAGAAGTTCCTATTTATGTGTCAATAACTTGGAAAGGAGAGATGAACTAAAACTGACTAAAAAAGATAGATGTTTGAAATAGCAAATAAAATAAAAGGCCATACAGTGCTGACCAGAGTGTAAGCATAACACATACAATGATTCAATTTATAAAATGTTTCAAAATGCAAAATAATTTTACCTATATTGTTTATGGAGCTATACATACCTATACTTCAAAAGTATAAAAATATGTATGGGAATGCTAAACGCCAATCCCAGCACACTGTTTACCTTAAGTGTTTTGAATTTACATGATGTAAATTACAACAAATTTAAATAAAAAGGTATTTTAAAATCAAATCAATTATTTCTATATAATATTTTCTAACTGAATTCATTCTTTTTCTCCTTCTTAAATCTTATGTCTTATGAAAATTGTTTCAATCCACCCCATCCTACCAGATTATAACAGATTTCAATTAAAAAAAATCTCTTTTAAATTGCTTTCCCTCATAAGTAACATATTCACTAAAAAAAAAAAAAAAAAGAAAATTCTAAATTAGCAAAAATAAGAGGCTTACACCTACCATTTAGAGATATCACCTTAATATTTGGCATATATACCAGATTTCATTTTAGTATATGCTAAAGGCCTGGTGCACGAAATTCGTGCACTGGGGCGGGGGGGGGGGGGGTGTTTCCCTCAGCCTGGCCTGCACCCTCTCGCAGTCCAGGAGCCCTGGGGGGATGGCTGACTGACGGCTTAGTGGGCCTAAGCCATCAGTTGGACATCTTAGCATTGCCACGGAGGCAGGAGAGACTCCCACCACTGCTGCTGCGCTCGCTAGCCATGAGCCTGGCTTCCCCCTGTGGGAGCACACTGACCACCAGGGAGCAGCTCCTGCATTGAGTGTCTGCCCCCTGGTGGTCAGCGCACATCATACTGACTGGTCATTCCACCATTCGGTCATTTGCATATTAGCCTTTTATTATGTAGGATACTCTGTAGATGAGGACCCCTAGAACCATAAGAAATGCAAAAAATTCACTGTTAACTCATTCTCGAATTGCCCCCATTCAAAATCAAATTGCCCTCCTATGGGGCATGTGCTGCACCTTGGGAACCACTGAGCTTGACACTTTTCCTCTCTGAGCTTCATTTATGAATACATATGCATATACCATGGGAATTGTAACCTCTTCTCCGCCCACCTCACTGGGTTGTCATGAGGAGGTTCTGAGCTAATAAACCTAAAAATGTTTCAAGTAAGTGATGTCTAAACAGGAAGGGATTGTTATTTTTAAACCCACAGGTACCCTCGCAGGTAGCAGGTGCTGATTAGGGGAGGGGGGCATGATTGTTTCCTAGGACTGTAGCTATGGAAGCTTTGCAGAGGGTTTCGCAGGCCTTGGAGGAGCGGGCTCTGGCCAGCAGCCCTGTAGCAGTGGTCGTCCCTGGAGGCGCTGGCAGGGGGGCGGGGCGTTAGGGGGGCAGCGAGGCCGAAAGGGGAGTAAATGTCAAACCTCCCGCTTGGCACCATTCTTTAAATTGTACGTGGCTGTTTCACAGCTGTGCCTGCTCAGGGCAGGACTCCAATCTCCTGGAACAGGGGGAGGGGGGCAGAGCCAGGCGGGCTAGGAGGACGGGTTTAGCCATGCCCCCAGTGAGGCTCAGCACACTTCTGCTGGTGCTGCTGCTACTGCCGGGGAAGGGGGGGGAAAGGGTCTGACCCTGGGGGGCCACTCAGGCCTGCCTCCACCCGAGTCTGGAGTTTTAGGGAGAGGCATGCCCGGCCCCAGCAGAGGGGGCCCAGCAGCAGCAGGCCACAGGTCCCGGGTGCCTCGGGGGTGCTGACGGGTGGTCGCCAGCGTGCTATTGTTGTGGGCGGCCCCTGGTGGGGGTGGCGGGCAAAGAGCTTGGGAGTCAGAGATGTGGGCTGCTGCTACCCTCGAGGCTGGGTCTTCTCCCCGTCCGGTCAGCCTCCCCGTACCCCCGGGGATGCGGGGGCTGCAGTAGGGTGTCCATGCAGGGGGATTGGAAGAGCTCCCCATGGCCGCTTCCTCTTCCTTCTTTGCAGTCCGAGCTCCTGTCAGGCACTCTATTCAGATCCCCAGGAACTTGGCTCCAGCCACCCATCCCCTGCTGTACATGCAGCCTCCTGCTGGTCTGTCAATATGCAAATTGGTTGTTACTGTGACACCGTTAGGACCAATTAGCATGTTACCTCTTTATATATATAGATG